CTAGACTCTGAGTGATGGCTTCCCTGGGAAGCTTGTTCTTTTTTTTGGTTTATTTTTTTCATATCTTAAAAGGGGCGGAGGTGGAGGAAGTGGGAGGAACACAAAAATAGTGAAGGGCCTCCTTACAGTCTCCTCTGACAGATCTAACAAAAGGGGTTGAGAAGTAAATGGAAATTGGACCTCGGGGGAGTTTTGCCTCGAGATGCCCAAGAACTGGGGAGGGGGTCAAGTTAGTGTTTTGCACATCCTTCTCCAGAGAGCATGAAACACCTCGTGTGCAGGGTGCACTGGCAAAGGCAAGAAATTGAAATCTCTCCAGGATGCAGACACAAGTACAGGTATGTTTATGTGCAAGTTCTGGGGTGGGGGTGGGAGGCCCAAGGGAAAGATCTCATCAATTTAATGCACCACACACACACACACACACACACACACACACACACACACATTAGAAACCGGAGCCCACTCCAGGTACATGACCCCTCCCTCCAATCCAGACACCAGATCTCCAAATTAATGATTCATGTTCAGGAGACTGAAAGCTGAGGGCTAGAAACCTCTGTTCAGTTCAACAATCCCATTCCTCCCCCTCCCCCTTGCAATCCAAGAAGCAAAAGTGGGGGGAGGGCACTAGGAAGGAAGTAAAGGAACTACAGGTAGGGGGACTAGAGTAAGGAATACAACATCTATATTTAGATATGAAAAAAGACAGGAAATAAAATACAAAGTAAGACTTAATGAGCTGCTGTTTTATTGATTTTGAGTCTGTACAGAGGCAGCAATCCTTAGGTGGGGGCCCCAGTTTTCCAAAGTGTCACTTTATTCTCTCCAACCCCCAGTACACACACCCTTCCGGCCTCAGCTTTAAAAGTTCCCTGTCTGGCTGCAACTGCGGAAATAGTGAAAATACATATTATGAAACAGGGAGTCAATCTGGAACAAAGAGGAACACCTGACTCTCGAGTCCTACAAGCTCTAAGCACTCCCACTCCCACCTGCATTCCAGGAGCCTCAATCTCTGGGGAAGAAAATACTTCCCAAGGTCTGTTGCAATAAGAGGTGTGTACCACAATTAAAAAATCTCATTATCCACTTGCCTTCTCCCACCACCTTTCATTCAAGAGCCTCATTCTATTCTTTAATACTTTGAGGTAAGGAACAGCAGAGGAATACAGAAAAAAAACATCAGGGGATTGGGGTAGCATCAAAGGCAAAAAAAAAAAAAAGGTGGGGGGACTTAGATTAGTACCCAACCAGGAATGCAATGGGGGCAGCAGCTGAGGGGTAGCTAACAGCAGAACCACTTCTCACCACCCCACACACTCCCAGGGCAGGCTCAGTGGAGGAAAGGAAGGGTGGAAAGGCAAAGGGCTGTATCAGATTTTTCCATTTCAGAATCCTGATCTGGTTGTAGGTTTGTGCTAGGAGTGAAGGCTGCAGGAGGGGCAGCTGGAGGAGGAAGAGCCGAGTGACTCACAAGATGAGTCACAGATGCCTGTTCTAAGGACAGAAAGAGGCCAAAGTCCTCCCCACCCCCACTCCTCGGCTACTGTCAGCCAGGCTCCATTGCTCTTCTCCACCGCCCCTTACCCACAAGGCCAGTGAAGGGAGGTGCCACGGAGAGTGTCTACACGGGAGACTTCATAATAAATATTTTGTTAATCAATTTAAGTACATGGGGCAAAACCCCCTGTGATTTGCAGACTGGGTATCTACAAAGTGAGACAGTGCCTGCATGACTCACTGACTCTACGTTGAAGGGCCTGGAGGGAAATTAGAAAAATCTGAGGTGCAGATGATTCCAGGCCAGGAAGGGGCTTCTAATTCTGTCTTCTCACCTGTGGCTAGGTGACTCTTGGAGAATGGAGAGGACACAGAGTCCAAGATGTCCAAGTAACTCAGGGACAATCATCTCTGAGGCTTTTATTGGGAAAGAAAAAAAGTGACTGCTACCTTGGACATGTGGCTGTTTAGAAAGAAGAAAGAACGGTAAAGCTAGATTCTCAGAAGTCATTCAGAACCAGCTCCATTCTTTCTGGCTCAGTATCACCTCCCAAATATACAATACAAAGTCACCACTAATTTTTGTTTTATTGTTCTATGAGCTTTAGTTTTGCTCAAGAAGAAACTAAGCCGACAGAAGAGGGAGGGTACTTCCCTCCAGGCCCCGTACAGCACTGTGTTAACAACATCCCCACTCCAGAAAGAGACTGAATCTTAAAAATATATATGTAATCTTTTTATTTTGATGATAGAATCCAGTATAAGGGGAAAACTTTTGGTTAACTCCTGTAACCCTCAATAAAACCAGCCAAGATTAAGGGAGGATTTTGGAGACTTATAGTATACTTACTTCCATCAGGGCTGGGGTGAACTAGGGTGGAGGGGTAGCACTGCCTTAAATCAAAAGGGAAAATCTCCCCTCTCTAATAAAACCTCAGTAGGTACCCCAATGCCCTGGATTAAAGAACTAAATGCATTTATTTAAGCCTGAGATATCATCCCTCAGCTAGGGTTGTGGGAATCTGCCCTTCACCCACAGACCTCTCCTTAACGAAGGGATTTTTGCTCAGTTGGAGTGCACACCATGTACCACTCTCTTCCCTTCTTCAACACAGTAATTGCATGGGTTTGCCTCTTCCACCCCCTCATCTTCCCAAAATACCACAAACCAACCCAACTTCATTTCCTAGGCATTATTCTTTCACTCCCCCATCCCACACAACCCCCTCAAAAAATAAAGCAAAACAACTCTTACTCATCCCTATAGAAAAACATCCATTGATTCAGGGTCCCTCATCCTTAAAATGGAGAGGTTTCTTAATGCCTCAATAAATAGTTACCGTCCCAAATTAAGAAAAATAATTTATTTCTTAATAAAAAAGATATAGGGCCTAAATAAAGCCCTATTTTACATACTCGCCCCCTGGGTCACCCCCCCCCCCCCCCGAATTTCTTTCTTTATTTGAAAAGAAGTCAGAAGAAACTGGGATTGGTTAATTTATATATCAAAACAAAAACAAACATGATACAAGGTTTCCGTTTTCATTTGTCCTCAGTTTTTAAAAACAAAAGTATTACCTAGAACTAATAACAGAGCAAATCCAAACACAGCAGTCCAGTGGAAAAATCAAAACTTTCCTGGTTTTATTCTCTAGGGAAACCTCTGGTCTGTTTCCACTCCTACTGGTCCAGGCCAGAATCCTATGATATAGATGGATGCCTATGAGAAAGCTAAGTGAGTTGTGCAAACTCAGGGTGTGAGTTTGAATCACTCATTGTTCGGGTGCATGTTAGGGGATGGAAGCCCACAAGATGGTGGTCTCATGAGTGTTGTTCTAACCCCAGAAACAGGGTGACATGAGCAAGGCACTCATCTGGGACACAACATTTAGGTGGTGCCCAAAAACCCAGTAACCAAGATACCATTTTAATGCAGTATGTTTTGAAAATCAAAACTAATGTAAAAACAAAAACAAAAACAGTGAACAAAGTATCACAGTTTTAAATAAAGACAGGATTCAATCCTGCATTTGCTCAACCCAGTCTTCCCTTGCCCTAATCCTGTTGAATCCTATCTTTAAGATTTTGATATTTTGTTCATCATATTTTTGCATTGACTGTAAAAGATTGCATTGAGCCCTGGCCAGTTTGGCTCAGCAGGTAGAGTGTCGGCCTGTGGACCAGAGAGTCCCAGGTTCGGTTCCCGCTAAGGGCACGTACCTTGGTTGCAGTTTGTCCCCGGCCCTAGGTGGGGTCGTGTGGGTGGCAGCCACTGGATGTCTCTCTCACATCGATGTTCCTATCTCTCTCTCCCCCTCCCACTCTATCTGAAGATGAATGCAAAAATGTCCTCCGGTGAGGATTAAAAAAAAAAGACTGCATTGAAACATTACCTTGATTACTGAGTTTTTTTGTACCCTCTTAAGTTTTGTACCTGAGAGAAGTGCTTGTCTCATACTAGTTCCAGCCCTACTCAAATATATATGTACCCTCTTCTGGAACCTAACTCCTTTGACCTCATTGCTTCCTTAAAACTAGTCTATTTTCAAATAAAAGCTTAAGAATTCATAGCCATAGGAAATGATAAAATCAACAGACTATCAGATTTAGAAAACAAGTGACTTTCAAGTTTGTTGAGGAGGAAGGAAACTTTCTAAAATATGAGCAGTTCCAATAAAGAGGACAGACTCGGTGGCTTTGTTACCAAGGGGGAAACAGGATGACAACTTTCCTGATTGGGCAGAAGCGACATATGGCAAACACAAGCCCCCACCACCACATACACCCAGCCCGTCTACTTCAGATCAAATGTGGGGATTACATTCCATGGGGTGGGTTATGAGTACATACTTCCAGAGAAATCCAAATGCAGAAAAATAGCCCCAGTTAACACCTGGACATTTAAGTATACTTATTCCCCTTCTTTGTATATACCTAGGAGTGTATACAATTGCATAGTTGATTTTTTTTTTCCCAGGAAAAGAAAAGGAAAAGGAAAATTGGCCCAGTATAAGTCCTCTGGTTTAAAGCTCTTAAAAATGGTGCTGGCCAGAGCGTAGGCTTGTCCAGACTTGTGCTTTGTGCAAAATGCAAAGGAGCTCCCCCCACTGTGTCCCCAGGCCCACTCCCTCCCCTTGGGGAAAAGGACTGGATCAGGGAAAGGGGGAAATTCAAAGACAGATCAGCTCATTGGGAGTAATCTGTGATCTGTGGTTATAGTTCACTAAAATAGATTTCTCTACCTACCTTTTTATAAATTCCCCAGCCTCTACCCCATGTTTTAACATCAGTACTATTATAAAAAATATTTCTTCTTACAAAGTATTTTTTTATTATTTTAATAAACTAACCACAGATTAAGGTCAGCTATGGCTTAACAAAAGAAGCCGGGATGTTAAATTCATTCTCCAAAAGTAGAGAGGAAGGAGAAAGAATCATTTAAATAGGAAAAAAAAATTATTTTTTAAAATGTTTTTGCTTGCTGGGGTCTTTTTCCTTTAAAAAAAAAAAAAAGTTGCTTTCTACAGAAATGCAGCAGCAGAGGATGGTAGTGCTCTATTTAGGTTTTTGGTTTTGTTTGAAACAGTCTGGCCAAAGGTCTGTCCTTCTCCCATCCCTCCCAAGGCACACTCAAACCCCAATATGTGGTTATTGCTAAGTAGTTAAAAAAAAGATCACCTCTGCACCAATTCACCTGGAGAAAATTCAACACACACAGCTGCTCTTCTCATCACTCTCTCCCTTCCCCAGAGGGAACTTTTTTTTTTTTAATAAAAATAAAGTCTTTAAAAAAAATCACAACCATCTTAACTTAGCTGAGCTCAGCCCTCAAAAAGGATGAGGAAAAGAAAGGGGGCAATCAGCCGTCTCCTCTCAAACTAGAACAGATGACAAGATGGTGTTTAGAAGGAAATAAAACTTAAGAGGAAAAGACTTCCCCTTTTAAGTTCTTCCCTTTCCCATCTCAATAAACCGATTTAAACTACCTCCCTCCTAATAGGTACCCATAAACACACATTACTGCCCTGTCTTTCCAGATCCTTCAGGAGAAAGAATTTATCCAACCCTAATTTCTATCTTAATTCAAATCAATAGCAAATTTGCCTAATTTCCCAGTTTCTCTCCACACTCCCAACTCCACCACCATGTGCTTTTTTTCAACCTAAAAGAACTTTGGTCTGTTTTTTCTTTTATTGACCGAGAACCACCTTTGCCTGTTCATTTCCCAGACAGTTAACCACCTCCCCGCCCTGACACACCAAACCTGCCCCTACTGCTTTCATGGACCCAAGGGGTTATGAGACAGAATCACCTCCTTTCCCCTTTGTACCTCCTCAGTCCCATCAAGTCAAGATCTGCAGAGGACTAGTACAGCCACGAGGTACCATCCAGCCCTGACCTGCTCGTGCAAGCCTGGCAGCTCTCCAGCGCACACTTCAACGTTTCTAGCCAGGCTCCCACAAACATTACTGCATTTGCCCCGTCAACGTGGGGGCTGGATCTTGAGCCAATTAGCTGAGCTTAACTTTGTTTAGCCCCCTTGCCCTCCAAAGTCACCCCGATTCAGAACCTGTGCACCAGCAGCTCCCCACCCGGTTCCCGTTCCCTCCTCCTCAGTTCTTCCCTGTAACAGCAGGAGCAGAAGTTGTTTGTCTCAGGGTGTCCATAGAAGCTGCAGTTCGGTTGTTTGCATTTGGTCTGGGTTGGGGGAAATCCCCTGGGCCCTCCAGCCCATCCATCTAGCTCAGGGGACTCTCTGTAGCCGTTGCTATAGGAATCAGCCACTCGAAAGTGGGGTGGTAACAATGCACCCCTGTGAACTCCATCCTGGGAGTGACTGCCTGGCTCCAGAGAAAGGCTGCTGTCCTGATGGGGGTAGGATCGCCCAGGAGGGCACTGTCTAGGGAAGGTAGCATATGGTGGCAGGCCACCCCCACACGGACCCCCTGCCAACTGCCTCCGGGGCTCCTGGCAGTGAACTCCACCCCCAGAAGGCCGAGGGATTGTGAAGCCCCCAGGGTAGCCAGTAGAAAATGCCATTGCCTTGGACTCTGTTTGAGGGGCAGTCAGCAGCTCCTCCCCGCCATCTGGCTCTGGCTTTTTGGCTGGAGGAGGCCCACTCCCTACCCCTCCATTCATGATCTTCTTCTCTGCTTCCTTCTGTTTCTGCTCTGCCAGGAATCTCTCCTCAGCATCAGAAAGGTAGCGCTGGATCATCTCCTCCTGATACTGGTGACGGTGACCCATCTTCAGGGTTCCAACAAAAATAAACTTCCCCTCCCCTTGCATAGCAATCCTCATGATGCTCAGGCTTTGCATCACCTCCTGGCTATACTTGCTCCCTCCATTACCCACAGACTCAGATGTGGGCTTCTCAGACACAGGCCCATCTCCAGCTGCCTCCTCCTTGCCACCCTTCCAGCTCTTCAGCGAGTTTTTCTTCTTCTTCTCCAATGTCTCAGTGCCACTGCTCACTCCTGACCCTGCTCCCATCCCTCCAGGCTTGGAAGCCTTGCTGTGCATCAGGCCTCCCATGTTCTTCTTGAGCTTGCTGCCCAAGGTTTTGCCAAAGCTGCCCAGTTTGTTAGCCACAGAATCTGCCCTCTTCTTGTCCTTCTCCCGATCTCGTTTTGATTTCTCTTTCCGCTTGCTGCCCTCATTGCTAGTAGAATTGCTGCCAACTGACTCCTTGTCTGATTCCCCAGACTCAGGAGTGGACCGGGGCTCATCTCCAGCTGAGGCTGTGGGGGACTCAGGCTGGGCCAGGGGAGCCTGGAAGAGACAAAAACAGGGTTGTCAGTTATCCCATTGGTCTGAATTGGGGTGGTCCCCAGGGACTCCTAGTTTATCCATATGGCTCATGGGGCTCCCGACAGTCATTGCTATAGCAATTAGCCAAGTGGAAGAGGGTGGTAATGCCCCTATGAACTCCATGCTTAGAGCGGCTGCTAGTTTTAGAGAAGGGCTGCTGTCATGATGGGAAAGGGTCACCCACGATGTCCTTTCCCAGCTCCAGTCGCTCTCCCATGGACAAGGAAAAGATGTATCTAATATTTAACTTTTATGTCACCCCTGCAATGACTTCCTTCTGTAATGAGATATGACGATGAAGCCTGATAACTCTTCTAGAGCAATGAAACTATACAACACATGGCCTCTGGGTACGAATAGAGAATATTCTATAGACACTACAGCATCCTTTATTTTATTTTTTTATTTTCTATTTTTTTGTGGTATGTGCCCCTAACCGAACCCAGGACTCTCTGGTCCGCAGGCCAACGCTCAACCGCTGAGCCAAACCAGCCAGGGCCAGTGTCCTTTATTTTATTCCAAATCTCTTTATGCCAAATTCTTCCCAAAATTAAACTCAAGAAAGTCTTTTCTAACCACAACCAACCAACTCCAAACATACTGTAGCCCCTCAACTTGCCCTTGCTCCTGTGTTTCTGTTCTGTGGATACTGATATCTTCAGAACCTACTGGCTCAGGAGTTCTTTAAGCTATTCTACCTCCTCTAGTATCAACACAGAGGTCTATGTATAGACAGCTTAGGATAAAGTAATGACAACCTCAAGTTCACCAAAAAGTCCAGAAGACTCTTCTTGAAGAATATATTTTAGTATCAGAAAGCAGAGCTTGGTTGGAGAGCAGATGTAGAAAATGGGTGGCATTAACAGATAGAAAGGCAGGAAAAGTGTTTTGGGGAACTTATCTGATGTTTTCCAGTTATCCCTAATTTGGAATCATAAGCCACCACTCAGAAGATATTCAGAAAGAGAGCAATTCCAGATCTCCCTGTTCTCCCTGTCACTGAAAATAAGAAGACCAACAAGGATCGAGTGGAGATGTCCTCACCTGTGCATCAGAGGACACTGGGATCCACTTCACACTCATGTAGCTATGCAACAGGTGCAACTTGACCTCCAAGGATAGGATTACACTGTGAAAAGGAGAAAAAGAAGGAATTAGAAGTGTTCTGTGACCTATCAAAAGCAAAGCAGTATTATTAGTTGGGAGGTAGGGTGGGTGAGGGCCCATGGCTTAGGACTCAGACAAGGTTGGGTTTGAATTATAGTTCTACCAATTACTAAGCTTGACAACCTTAAGCAAGTCACTTCAACCTCTCTGAAACTCAGATAGGGTCGATAATGGGTACAGATAATATATCCTATAGGGTTGTTATGAAGATTAAAATGGCATTTAGAAAGGACATAGCACAGTGTCTAGAAAACAGGAAATTCTCACTAAATAGCAGTCGTTGTTGTTGTAAATATTTAGAAAGAGCTTTTGAAAGTTAGGTGAGAGCTTAGTTAAAAAGCCATAAACTCTGTGTTTTTTAATCAAACCCTCTCATTTGGGTCTTAGTTTTAGGAGCTCAAAGAAGGAAGTGCTAGGTTAAGAGGTAGGGGAGGCGCCTTTACATTCATCCACTCTTCACAGGAAACTGTGGCGAGAAGCAGGATGATGGCTAAACCAGCTTCTGGGAGGCAGGGCAAGCAGTGGGAGAGAAGATATTTTTCTTGCTGTTTAAATTCCAAAAAGGCAGAAATCCGGAGTAAATTATTTTGGTCAACTATTTAAAACCTCTTTCTCTTGGTCTGGGAGAGGGACTGTGAATTGAGTATCTTGATTTTCTGATCACTTCTTTGGGGATTCTGGGAGGTATTAGTGCAAGAACACTCTTCATATTGTATGGAAAGAACAAGATGAGAGCCCAGGATTCCCATCTTTCACAGGGAGAAAAAGCAGTTCCACACTGCAAGAGTCCTGGTGCCCAACCTGTTTTTCACCTGTCCATCTTCCTAAAGGCATGGGAGCTAGGATGTGACTATCTTGCCTCGGAGCTGAGGTAAAGTTCCCAGGAGACAGATGATGTATGTGGAAGAGATCACAGCTACAAAGCATATGAAATGAACAAGCCTGCCTCACCTGGCCAATCGGACATTGTCATTGTCATCTTTGCCCCACTCCCAGCTCTTTCCAGGGTCCACAGCAAAGTGCAAGGGCAGCAGCTTATGTTCTGAATCTGTAAGTGGGATCACAGCTGAGGGGGAAAAACATGTCATCAAGGAGTCTCTTCAAGGAGAGAGGAAGGCAACTGAACACAGATCAACTTCACTAAAAAGGAGACTGAATCATACTACAGATATGGTATGATAACTGTAGTCACTTCTCAGTTCTTACATGTAAATTATTACCCAGGCATTAAAAACTAAAAGGCTGGTTTTTCCTTACTACCCAGCACACAATTTAGACCACTAATCTCCATGACTCTCCACCAATCAGTCAACTAACGTGATGTTTTCTTTCCAGTTAATGTGAATTCAGGGAATTGAAAGTCACTAAGACAACTACAGCAAAGCATCATTTGGAAGGTTCTATGACCTTAATACATAAGATCTTTATTTCACAACAGGGAGCAGGGAATATAGACTACTGTGTTTTTCCCCAAACCTTATTTTTAAGTTTGTTTAATTAAAAAACCCTGGTATATCTTATAGCTTAGTATAATAGTATCAACATGCGCTGACTGGCTTGCTCCTAAATGCTCTCTCATTACAGTTTTTCCAAGTGAAAATAAAGCAGACAAAAAAACACCAGAGACACAGACACTGCATTCAGCACCTTGTTCCTTGCCATTCTCCTTCTGCTCCATGGACACAAGTGCAGAAAAGTGGGCCTGATCGTAGGCGAGCACCAGAGGGGAGCGGTGACACTGGCTGGCTGGGACCTCCAAGGGCAGATAGATTCCCCCAAAGGGGATAGGGGCAAATGCTGCAGGCAACCATGAAGATGATTATTAAGGCTATGTTCTTGCCTAGTGGGCAATCCCTCTTCCCCACTCTGCCAACTGAGTTCCCCCTTCATTTGAATCCCTGCTTAATAGTTCTTTCCTCAGAAGCCTCATCAATTAACCCCAACTTGAATCTCTTGAGAATTTTGCATTGTTCTAATTTACACCTTGATTTTTCCCCCCAAGTGTGTGTGTGTGTGTGTGTGTGTGTGTGTGTGTCTTTCCTGTACTCCTCTCGTGTTTAGCCCAAGGCTCTGCAAATAGTGGGTGCTCAGGGTACAGTGAGGACTGACTGACTCACCTTCTCCCCCAGAGTCCCTCAGCATGGTGTCTGCCACGACAACTATAGGCCTTCTGAGCACATGGGCAAGGACAAAGACGTGGAATTCTTCTAGACTCTCATATACAGGCTCCTCTGAACTCTCTGCCCTAGAGATGCAGGAAGGGAAAGAGTGGACGGGAGAGGGAAGAAAACAAAACAAGAAACACCTAAAGACCAGTTCTGCAAAGAGGAAAAAGAGGATCATCTTTTCCTGGTTTTCTAATCCTAAGGTTTCCACAGACATAGCTGATTCTTTTATGCCACCATGGCTGTTTCTACTTCAGTTTCACAGATGGGGAAATCCAAGAGATTTGAAGGCTCTGGTTATATGGTTCAAGTGTTAGGAATCTGAAGGCAATTCTTCCATTAATACTCATCTTGCTCAACAACCTTCCCCAATTCTCTTTATAAAGCAGCTAAATACACAACTGAGTAGCCTCATCCTGCTGATTTTACCCACCACAACTCATCACAACCACCCACACATCATATTCTGTCCAACAAAAAACAAAAACTCCTCCTAATATGTTCCCTTACTTGGAGAATAGCCTCACTATCTACCTAGTAGCCTAATCAGAAATCTGTAAAATATTTACTGTTCTTTATCTTTCACCTCCAACTAATCACCTGGCTTGGCCAATTCCATCTCCTAAATGTCTATTGTCTCCTCTGGCTTATCTGCAATCCACTACTCTTCCTTATACCCGTGGCTTTCTTTCTTGGATTACTACAACTGCCTCTAGTCTCTCTCCCCCTACTTCATCACCCACTCTGTTGTTAGTGTGTTTAAACACACGAATTTGCTCCGGTCCCTCACATACTCACAACTCAGTGGCTTTCTATCCCATAACACAGTGTTACTCAACACTGGGTGCCTGCTGCACGTGCAGAGTTCTGGGCCTCACCTCAGTCCAACTCTAGAGTAGAGGTCCTGAAATCTGCATTTTAAAGAATCTTCCCAGATTATTTTCATGCACAATAAAGTTTGGATCAGTTATAATTTTTAACTTTTTATTAAATTTCAAAATTTTAAACATTCTAAACTAGAAAGTAACAATGTAAACTAAACTAAACTCTTATGTATCCATTGCCCAGCCTCAACAATTATAAACACACAGTCAGTCTCATTTCACCTATACCTTCACCTATTTCCCTATCAGCCAGCACCCCCACCTCACCCAATTATTCTGAAGCAAATCCTAGACATATCATTTCATCCATAAATATTTCTGTTTCTATCTCTAAAACATAAAGAACTCTTTTTTAAAATACCCACAATACCATCACTAACACACTTTAAAAAGTTAACAATAATCAAACGTGTAGACTATTCACGTCCTCAACTGTCTTACATATGTCCATACATTGCAATTGGTTGATATGTCTCTTAAGTCTTTAAACTTCCGTTCTCTCTCCCTTATTTTCCTTGCAATTTATTTATTGAGGAAATTGGGTCATTTGTCCTGCATTTTCCTGAAGTCTGGATAGGACACAATTTTAATTCTTTAGAATGGTACAAGAGAAACCTGAGGATGGCACACATAATCTGGATTGCCCAGCCTCATCTATCATTCTCCATGTGCCACATATTCTAAATTCCGGCAATATTCAACTACCTAAAGTTCCTTAAACATACCAACCACACTGTTACACATTTCTGTGTCCCTGCCACGGCATCTCTCTTTCCTCCTAACATCCTCTTAGCACAGAGCTCTTTAGACTCTGAGGACTCAGTTAAGATTATTTTCTGTTCCCCACTTAGCCATACTTACCCACCACCATTGGCTCCGTTGGTACCTAGATGCATGCGGGGTTCACTTGAGGCAAGCTTGATCAGCTCATTCCATTCCTTCTGCCATTCGTCCTCTGTGTATACCAGCCCTGACTACGAAAGACAGGCAGGGGATATCAAGCAATTAGAGGCTAGGTTCAAGAGGCAATAGCCATTCCAATTCATTCACATTACCCCATTCCCTATTCTCTTAGCATCTGGCTTACAATTTGTACTACAAAGTCAAATCTCTTCTCCCTTTTAAAACCAAGATCCATGAGTCTATGATCTCTCTCATGTTTCTTTTTCTTCCATTCTTTCCAACCCACTGCAATCTAGCTTCTGTTTCTGCCCTCTAGCCTATGCCCTTCACCCCCACATACCACGTCACCCAACCAACTCTGGGCATAGGACAGTGACCTTCTAATTGCCAAATTCAGTGGACTCATTGGTTCTCATCTTTCTTAGTCTTTATTTGGCATTTGATCTCCTCTTTGAGCTCCCTTCTCCTTTAGCTTCTACAACATTACTTTCTCATACCTCTGTGAACTCTGCTACCACAGAAATACTGTTGTGTGTTAATGATTTTAGCCTTGGTTGTTTCTAGGTGGTCTCATCTACTGCCATCTATATGCTCAGGCCTCTAAATTCTCCCTCTCCAGCTGTAGGAAACCACAAAGATAATTATTAAGGCTATGTTCTTGCCTAGTGAGCAATCCCTCTTCCCCACTCTGCCAATTGGGTCCCCACTTTCATTCCAACCCCTGCTTAATTCTTCTTTCCTAAGAAGCCTCTTCAATTAACCCCAACTTAAATTTTTTGAGAATTTTGCATTGTTCTAATTACACCTTGTTTTTTCCCCCAAGGGTCTATATGTCCCCTTTCCCGCACTTCTCCCAGTGCTGAGTCCAAGGCTCTGCGAAGAGTGAATATAATTCTTATAATTCACATTCAGTTGCCTACTGAAGACTGCCACCTGCCCACGACTACCTCAAACTATACAGTCCAAACTGAACTCCTACTTCTTCCAAACCCACTCTTCTTCTTATATTCCTACCTTAGTGAAGAGCACTAACTAGCACTCAAACACCCAAGCTAGAAACCAGTGAGTTATCAAAGACTCCTCTCCTTTCACGTACCCAAACCTGGATCCCTTCAATCAACAATCATTAAGTATAAACTACTGCAATGGACCCTTGACTGGTTTTACTACTTCCTGTCATATACTCTTCTGATCCACTTTCTACAATGCCACCAGAAAGATGTTTTTTTAAATTAAAATCTGATGTTTGCTTCCTGCTACAAATTCCTTTAAGAATCATCATTACCGCCCTGGCCGGTTTGGCTCAGCGGTTAGAGCGTCGGCCTGCGGTCCGGAGAGACCCGGGTTCGGTTCCCGCTAAGGGCATGTGCCTCGGTTGCAGTTTGTCCCCGGCCCTGGTTGGATCGTGCGGGTGGCAGCCACTCGATGTGTCCCTTTCACATCGATGTTTCTCTCCCTCTCTCTCTCCCTCCTGCTCTATCTGAACAAAGAATGAAAAAGTGTCCTCGGGTGAGGATAAAAAATAAAAAATAAAAAAAATAAAAAAAAAAAAAGAATCATCATTACCTACTAGATAAAGTTCAAACTCCTTAAGCATAGCATACAAAGTCCACTTCCTGGCCTCTACTCACCTTTCTAATCTCATTTAATTAGTTAGAGTTTCTTGAATGTACCATGTTGTTTTATACTTCTGAGTTTCTGTCTAAATTGCTCCCTCTGTCTGGAGCAGCCCACTCCCTATCCACCCGGTGAATACTTTTTCAGCTGTCAGGAGAGAACACAGGTACCACTCCTCTAGGAAACCTTTCCTAAATCTCCCTGGTAGCCCTGGCCAGTTTGGCTCAGCGGTTAGAGTGTCGGCCTATGGTCCAGAGAGACCCGGGTTCAGTTCCCGCTAAGGGCATGTACCTCGGTTGCAGTTTGTCTCTGGCCCTGGTTGGTCGTGCGGGTGGCAGCCACTCGATGTGTCCCTTTCATGTCGATGTTTCTCTCTCTCTCTCCTCCTCTCTCTCCCTCCCACTCTCTCTGAACCAAAAAGGAAAAAAATGTCCTCGAGTGAGGATAAAAAAAAAAGAATATCATATTAGTTTTAGGATACATATGATGATTTGGGAGATAAATCCCTACTTTATTATATTTGCCTTACATTAGTATTAAAATGCTTAAACATACACTGACAGAGTAAAAACAATCACAGTGGAAAGAAACATGAGGGGCATCAGGAACAAATTTAACAGGAATTAAAGAGCCATTGTGAGCACATTCTACTTTAACTTAAAATGATATCAAAGTTTTTTTCAATTAAAAAGAATAAGAATAATGCATAAGAACAATGCACAAGTTATATATGGGGTGCTCTGGTCACTCTGATATGCGATCACTGATACACATCCAGGAGGATCTGTCTCCCTCTGCCTTTCCCCTATTTCTGCTTGCTGTTCTTATACACACAACCACTAGGTGGCATAACCTTCTAGCCTAAAACTGTTCGCACTGAGTTTCATCACCAAATTACACAAAAGAAGGAAGTCTGGGAAAATTAAAACCATTTTAGTTTTGTTTGGTTTTTGGTACTGGTTAATAGAAACTCCCCAGTCTCACCACTCTCCCCCCATTTTCACTCCAAGGTCTGAGAGATCTGAGCTAAATCAATTACCTAGGCCATATTTCTAGAATGGAACTTTCAATATGCCTAGCAAAAGGAGTAAAAAGGTTCCTCCTTTGATAGCTACTATTCTGCACATATTTTCACTGGAGACTTTGAGAGGGAATGGGTGGCTGACCAAAAATAGAACTTGGGTATTTCTGGGTTTCCTCGCTAAATACCATCATAATCTAACCCCAATTTAAAAACAATAACTGTAGCCCTGGCTGATTAGAGCATCGTCCCAATACACCAAGGTTGTAGGTTCAATTCCTGGTCAAGGCACATACAAGAATCAACTAATAAATGTATAAAATAAGGGGAACAAATTGATGTCTCGATGTCTGTCTCTCTCTCAAAAAAAAAAAAAATCAATCAATAAAAATAAAATAATAACCATAACAGCTTAAAAGCTGGAATTGGACACACCTATTCTCTGACTGTTGCTGGCACTTCTACTTCATAACCAGCATGCTCTGGTTTGGCCTTTTCTTGTCTCTGGAGTGGTTAAATCTAAGGTTAAGGTTCAGGTATGGTGTGAAGAAGGCAAACTTTGGCCTGGCTCTAGCTCAGGCAAAAGAAGGTCTCTACAAGGTCCAATTCAGCTCACCAGGAAACCATGGGGTTTGGTGGTATAAAGAACCTGCCGTTTACTTGGCCTTGCCCTGAGCATGTATTTCCCTCAGGAATCTTCTGGGGCAGATGGCTGATCAAAGACAGTATTCTGATCTTAATATCACCCTAAGTTTAACAATGGGTTCTTTGTTTTTGAGAAAGAAACAGAACACAATCTACTTCCGTATTTTAAATCTTCAGGACATAAAATTCTAATGACTAAAACAAACCAAAAAATCTTAGTTCTATATATGGCCAGTTACGATAGAACAATAAAAAAAGAAAAAAGATCAAAAGTTTCTGAAGATATATTCCCACATCAATGCCAGAAACACCCAGCCATAAACAATGCAAAAAACAGATATACCCCAAGAGCGGGAGATAAACATAGAAGACAGAAACAGGGAAAAAGGAAATAGGCAGACCCATTGTCTTTATATAAATGTTAATGTCAGTATTAAAGGAAAGGGGTGGATTCTGCTGCTATACCAGGAAAGCAGTTATATGAACTTACACATGTAAATGAATGGGCTGGCCTGTATTTCAATAAAACTCCCCCCCTACAAAATCAGTTGGTATTATCTGGCTCACAGGCCATAGTTTGCTCAACCTCTGTTATGGGGATGGAAACAGTCCATTGTTACTTTCTTATACAAAAGCAACTTCAACATTTGCTAAACCCCTGAGAAGTACCAAACTCAATTTAACAGGCATACTTTTAATTTTTTAAAAACACTAAGTATTTGAAAAATAAATGATATATATGGCCAAAAATATTTTTAAGCATTTATATTTATACACGGGTTGAAAACAAGCCCTAAAAAATTGCTCTATTCTTATTATAAGCAATAAAATCAAAACAACACAAAAATCCTATGGACTTGTCATATCTCATTTTGCAAAAGACTGTTAATAAAGACTTACTGAGCACTATCAGGTAAAAATCAGAGTTAGATACCTCCTCTATAGGTCTCAGCTTCCCCACACCAGTACTCATGACTATATCAGAAGGCATTTATCCCACAGCGTTATCTGCATTGTCTGCAATTTCCAGGATTACAGGAGGACCTAAGCACCGGGAGATACTTCCTACTGGCAGGCACTGGGCATTTCTCCTGGGTAACTTTGGAAAACAAGGTGCTTCCACCCAAGCGCCCCCACCTCTTTATTCTGCTGTGTTTGCTGCCACCTCCAGCGTCGTTTTAATGCTTCCTTCTCGGCTCCCTTTTCCATCAGTGCATACAAAGCTTTCCGCAGCATCAAGTCACGATCATGGAAACCCCACATCCCTGTGGCAAGAAAACATAACAGTAAGACACCTTACCATGACTCAACTTTGTTTATTAATTATGATACACAGACCCTGGCATGCAGGAAATCAGGCTGAAGCCCAAGTTCAAAGAAACTCTTCTGTGATTTAGGAAAAAGATACTAATCAAGAAAGAAAAGATGTTTCTACTCTAGGAGTTCAGAAATTCTGAGGACTTCAAAGTGAGGGATATACCACATCCTATAATCTCTTGACAGAAAGCCCTCACACCTGATGCAAGTCTAACAAACGAAACCGGATAGCAGCAGATAAAACAGGTCTGGCACATGATGATCAGCATAAAACTTAAGGGATGGTTAGAAAATACTTTTTTTTTAAAGCTAAGGCAACTGTATATTGAATTGTAAATAGCCTTTGTAATTTAAAGTTAACAAGTCTCACAAAGGACTGATAAAAACATTTTTATATACCAAGAGAATAAATAGTAAGTAGATTTATATACAAATACATAGAGCTATAGATAATCGCTTGCTTTCGGCTGCTCATTACTTCTGAGGGTCAACTCTCAATGTGGGACCCATGATAATTCTGTGTTCTCCATATGATTTCTGAATTAGCCTGAAAAGCCAAAGAGGGGCTCTCTTCCCTCTCCTCCTGCACATACACACAGATCCTTGCTCTGAACCTCACTTCTGCCTATGACCAAGGTTGGTTGGAGCAAGTCCTGCACATAACATTTAACTCTACTGATTCCTTTCTACGAGGGAATGGAAGGCCACTTTCAAGACTCACCAAGAGAGGCTGCGTGCAGGAGGCAGTTTCCATCTCCAGTAGTTGCCAAAGGAAGTAGCCTCTGACAAGTGGGGTCCACACTCACCCACCAGTTCAAGCGCCCTACAGAAATGAAGAAAAGAAGAGCAGATTACCCATATAGCCCTTCCCACTTCCCTATTTTTAAAACAGATTCCAAATTTGCCTCCTCTAGGAAGCCTACGAGAATAAAACCATCATGCTATTACTCTTTATATCTTCTTCACTTATGTCTAGTTGATTAGAACCTGGTGAACACAACTGGTACAACTGGTTAGATCAGTGTTTTTGTTTTTGTTTTAATCCTCAACCCAAGGATATGTTTTTATTGATTTTAGAGACAGAGGAATGGGGATGGAGAGAGAGATAGAAACATCAATGTGAAAGAGAAACATCAATTGGTTGCTTCCTGTACGCACCCTGACCGGGGACCAAACCAGCAACCTAGCTATGAATTAAACGCTCAACCTTTTGGCATATGGACAATGGTCCAACCATCTGAGCCACCCAGCCAGAGCTATTAGTGGTTCTTAATGGAAATATGTCTGGTTGTCATAACTGGTAGGGGACTCCTACTTGTATCTAGTGGGTAGAGGCCAGGGAGGCTGCTAAACACAACAAAATGCACAAGGCAGCTCACACAAGAAAAAATTATCTAGTCCTAAATGTCGACAGTGCTAAGATTTAGTAACCTTGGGTTAGATGATAAGGCCAAGGTCATAGGTTGAAATCTGTATTGGCTACTTGGTCTGATTCCTTCACTCCGGTTAGGAGATTAATAAATATTATAGCAACAAAGCTCAGCACAAATCCATCATCAGTTAAAAACAAAAAACATAAACAAACTCCAAGCATGTGTTCAAAGTGTCATACAAATATCATGTGCTTATACGACAGTCAGCATGTTGGCATGTACATAGTGTGACTTCATTTTTGTTGTTGTTTTGTTTTTTTATCCTCACCCAAGGACACTTTTCCATTTTTTGTTCAGATAGAGTGGGAGGGAGAGAAAGGAAGAGAGAGAGAAACATCGATGTGAAAGGGACTCATTGGGCGGCTGCCTCCTGCATGACCCCAACCAGGGCCAGGGACAAATCGCAACCGAGGTACATGCCCTTGACTAGAATCGAACCCATGACTCATTGGCCTGCGGGCCAACGCTCTAACCACTTAACCAAACTGGCCAGTGCTATGGTGTGACTTTAAAGACATGAACAACAAGACAAAGTACATAAAACACCCAAGAAGATGAGTCTCAATTCTGTTTTGTTTTTTTTTAATCCTCACCCGAGGACATTTTTCCATTTTTTGTTCAGATAGAGCAGGAGGGAGAGAGGGAAGAAGAGAGAGAGAAACATCGATGTGAGAGAGACACATCAAGTGGCCGCCACCCTCACGACCCCAACTAGGGCCGGGGACAAACTGCAACCGAGGTACATGCCCCTAGCGGCAACCGAATCCAGGTCTCTCTGGACTGCAGGCTGACGCTCTAACCGCTGAGCCAAACCGGCCAGGGCGAGTCTCAATTCTGTATAGTCATCCCATAACTTCCAATCCATTATTTATATGAGAAAACTATTTTACGAATGATGCTTAAAAGTTTCTTTGAGCCCTGGCCAATGTGGCTCAGTTGGTTGGAGCATCTCCTGGTACACCAAAAGGTCTCAGGTTTGATTCCTGGTCAGGACACATACCCAGATTTTGGGTTTGATCCCTGATTGGAGTGCATGTGGAAGGCAATTCATTGATGCTGCACTCTCACACTGACATTTCTCTCTCTCTGTTTCTCCCTTCTTCTCTCTAAAATCAATAAAAGCATGTCCTCAGGTGAGGAATAAAAAAAAAAAAAGTAACAATAAAGGTTTCCTGAATTACTAAAGAGTCTATCGAAAGAAAAACTGGCCTATAATATCACTAGATACCTTGCTAACTTTAATATATATATAAATCAATTCACATGGTTAGTATAGAAGGGTACAAAATGAAAAAGAAAAGCTTCCTTTCCATGCCCACACCCCTCACCTCCCCAGTCCTTCCATGGGAGTTTTTTAATACCTGACCAGCTTTCCCAGAACTCCTGGCTATCATATCCCATCATATTAACTAATTTTAACAATAATTTAAGACAAACACAATTGTAAAGGTAAACAAATCATCTGGGGAAAGTTTATATAAATAAATGTGATTTTCAGATTTATCACCACTGTGTACTGTCTACAGCACTGGTTCTTTCTGTTCACAAGGGTGTTCCAGAGCCAACTAGAATTCATTTGTATCTTTTTCATATATTAATTTTTAGATATTGATTCCTAGGCCTTTTGTGTGTATATCTGGTTTCCCTTCCATCAAACAGGAAATTTCAAGTGGAAAGTGTCTAATTGGTATTTTGTGTCCTTCCTTTTTTTCTCCTTTATTGATTTTAGAGAGAGAAGAAGTGAGAGGAAGAAAGAGAGAGAAACATCGATGAAAGAGAACATCGACTGGCCACCTCCTGCATGCTCCCCACTGAGGATCGGGCCCACAACCTGGGCATGTGTCCTGACCAGGAATCGAAACGGCAACCTCTTGGTTCATGGGTCAATGCTCAACCACTGAGCCACACCAGCCGGACTGTGTCCTTTCTTTAACCTGAAGAAGCACCTAGCTCAGTACATGTTTATCTGACTGACTGCTAACTTTGACTGTAACCAGATCACACACCTAAGAGTGGAAGCTACTGATCAAGTCCTGCCCCACTGTGTGGCTGCCCAGAGGTAGAGAGCAGAGGGAAGAGTATAGAAAAGGAAGCACTCACTGACCTGCCTGTTCCAAGGCAACCAGCATGGACTGTTCAATGAGGTCTCTCTCTATGAAGCTGCGGAAGTCTTCATTGTACACAGTGAGATCTGGAAGCTGGAAGGCACAGATGGGCATTTCCAGGGGGTGCTCACTGCTCCCCCCACCCCCACCATTGGAGGAGACATGGGACCGGGCCAGGGAAACAATGCTGGAGCTGGCGTGGGAGATGCCCCTAGACAGGCGTTTTTCTGCAATGAGAAATGGAGTCACCTTAGAATATACACAGCTCATTCAGAGAACTTTCCACTCAGGGAAAAACTTTGAACCTCACTGGCTACCAAAACCACGATCTTCTTTCTCAAGCCAAATATAACTGGAGAAATAGAGAAAGTGGTATTTTGTGCATTCACATTAACACCAAATATACATTCCTCTTTCTACACTTTTGGGAATTTGCCTGAACTTCCTCTTCCCATGGCTGTCTTTTTCCACTTTTATTTCCCAACATAATAGAGATACATTCATTTGTCAACTTGGTCAGTTTGGTGGGAGGAAGAGGGAATAAGGAAATGGGGTTGCATTTGGCTAGACTGACTTAAATAATCTCTCCAATAATTTTCAGCGTCTTAGAGAACATGAAAAGAATTTCCATTATAGAAAATTAATGAAAAATCTTACACATTCAGGAACTTCCTTATCTACCATTAATAACATTTACATTATTTACTACAACTTTTCTTGATACTCCTATTTATAGGTACAGTCAATTCTTACTCAACATGCTACAGAGGAAGATAATAATGCAGACAGCACTTCAAATTCTTTCTTTTTTAAAATAACTTTTTATTTTCACTTACAGTTGGCATATACATCATTATATTAGTTTCAGGTGTACACCCCAGTGACCACCTTATAAGGCTTAATAAGTGATCACACCAATAAATCCTGCACCCATCCAGCACCATGCCTAATTATTACAATATTATTGACTATATTTCCTATGCTGTACTTTATATTCCCATGACTATTCTGTAACAACCAATTTGTACTAATCCCTTCATCTTTTCACCCACTCTATCTGGCCACTAACAAAAAGTTCTCTGTATCTATGAGTCAGTTTCTGTTCTACTTGTTCATTTTGTTTTTTAGATTAAATTGTTGATAAATATGTATTTGTTGCCATTTTGTTGATCATATTTTTTATCTTTTTTTAAATCCTCATCCAAGGATACTTTTTCCCATTTATCTTCAGATGGGGGCGGGGGGAACATCAGCATGAGAGAGACACATCAACTGGTTGCCTCCTGCACGACCCCAACCAGGGCTGGGGACCGAACTGCAACCGAAGTACGTGCCCTTGACTAGAATCGAACCTGCAACTCTTTGGTCTGCGGGCCGACACTCTAACAGCTGAGCCAAGCTGGCCAGGGCACAACCAGTGTTTTGAACTGTGCATCTGGTAGATTGCTTGTCTCCATTTTCTTTAGTTCTGGAGTTTCGTTCTGTTCTTTCATTTGGGACATGTTTCTTTTTTTCTTTAAAAAAAATGTTTTTTCCCTTTACTGATTTTAGAGAGAGAGGAAGTGAGAGGGAGAGACAGACAGAAACATCAATGAGAGAGAACATCGACTGGTCACCTCCTGCATGCCCCTCACTGGGGATTGGACGCACAACCTGGCATGTGTCCTGACCGGGAATCGAACCAGAGACCTCTTGGTGCATGGGTCGACGCTCAACCACTGAGCCACACCGGTTGGACATGTTTCTTTTTCTATATCTTAGGTAGAGCTGCTAAGTCTCCTAGGCTTGGTAGTGTGGCCTAATGTAGTATCCTGTAGAGTCCGGTGGCACAGCCTCCCTGATCATCCCAGCTGGGCACTCAAGGTGCACCCCCTGTGTGGGCTGTACACCTTTCTGTCGAAATTGAGGCTTGACTGCTGCTGGCAGGTCAATGGGAGGGATTTACCCAGGCTGGTCAGCTGCAAGAACTGGCTGTGACCACTGACCACTGACCACCGACCACCTTGGAGGATCAGTTGTGCAGGGGCCCACCACAAAGAGCAGGACTTACTTCAGCATGACTCTAGTACCCATTGTGTCCACACCCTTGAGTGTGTTGCTTGTGGAGGTGGTTGGGTGGTGGTGCTTTGATGTGGTCTGAAGCTGCCCACTAGGTGCCTGCAGCCACTTAGCAATAGGTATAGGGCTCGCTGAGGCCAAATGTTCCTTGTTTGAGAGATTTTATAAAAATTTGAAGCATAAGCCAACACAGGCCATTTCTATGGTAAGGCCACTGGAAACAGCTTGGGTGAGCCCAAAAGTTGGGTAGGGCAGGGTCTCAGGGTTATCACCAGAGTGGGGCAAACAGTGTGGGCCAGGTTGATGGAGTCTCAGATATGGTGTCCATCTGCTGGCTTTGAGGAGGAAGGGCTCATCAAAGGAACAATGGGCTCTGCCAACACTTCCATCTGGGAGAAAGCTGCCCCTCCAGCTCACCCTGATGCCAAACAATTCAGTTCCTCTCAGTATATCTCTGGTGCCTTTCAAGCTGCTGCCTGTGCTGAAGCTCAGGTGTGAATGTGAGAAAGTGAATCGTGCTAAAGCTCAGGAGTGAATGTGAGAAAGTGAATTGTGCACAGGCTCTTTAAGAGGAGCTGCCTGGGACTTCAGCAGCCTCAGACTTCAGCCTCAATCCCCACTGGTTTTTACAGCCAGAAATTATGCGGACGTCTCTTCCTGGCATTGGAACCCTGAGCTGGGGGACCTGGTGTGGGACTAGGACCCCTCGCTCCTCAGGGGGGACCTGAGCAGCTGAGATATCCCTCTCAATTTTTATCCGCCACATGGCGGATGTGGGACCAGCCCTTCTATGTCTCTGCCTTTCCTACCAATCTTGATGTGGCTTCTTTAATTTTGTAGTTGTAGGATTTCCACTCAGCTCGAATGATGGTTGTTCTGTAGTTTAGCTGTACTTTTGATGTAGTTGTGGGAGGAGGCGAGTACCATGTTCACCTACACCGCCATCTTGGCTAGAAGTATTTTGCCTCAAATTATTTCATTTATTTTGAACACAAGGCATTTACAGTTTCCCAGCAGATATCCCATTGTGATCATAAATTGCTTCAGTGTAGTGTTACAATTCATTTGCATGGCCTGAGTTATATAAAGATAATCAAAAGCACTAAAAAAAATGTGTTGGGTAGCAGTTCTTAATCCAGTATTTGCCAGAGATGATGCACAAAGTTAAATTGAGACTTGTCTAAAAGTTATTTTATAGTGATGTTATTTTTAAACTTTTTTTTACATATTTAAAAAGTATCACATGCCCATGGTAAAAAAAAAATCAAAATACTATCAAAAAGTACCAAGTGTTACAAAGAAATCTTCCTCTCATTCAAAATTCCTGATTCCTTCCCCAGAGGCAACCTTTTATATAGTCTTCTTAAATTTTTTTATGCACATAGATGCACATATAGCTGTTAAAAATCATTTTTAAAACCTAAACAGGAGCATACTATATATTGCATCTTACCTTTCTCAATAGAGTTTAGAGATTTTTTCCCAAAGCATCACATCAAGTTCCACCTAATTCTTTCTAACAGCTGCAGAATATTCTACAATATGGATGATTACAGTTTATTTAACCACTCCTCTATTAATGGATATTAAAAGTTGTTTTCAAGCTTTAACTTTTAAGCTTTACACTAAATAAGTGTCTATTTATATATGTATTTATTTAAAGTGTGTGTGTATACACCTACACACACAGATGTACATAAACATATGATAAACTGCTAGAACTGAAATTGCTGAGTCAGTGTATATATGCATTTTTAAATTTTGGTAGATACTGACAATATTAACAGAAAGGCCTCTAAAGAAGTAGATGGACCTTTTGAATTCTATCTTTATATGTATCTTATCTTAACAATTAGACTGTATCTTCCTTCCTCTATTTTTTCACAGTATCTGAAGAAGACCTTTATACAGGATAACACTCAAGATGCAGAGTGACAGTAAGGGGCTCCAGCACCTGGACAGAGTAAGGCCACCTCTGACCAGTTTGGCTGCGGGGAGGAATGGAATCATCTCCAAAGGATCACTGAATTCTCTGAATCCATTTGGCAGACCCCACCCTTCCTGTCTACTCCATATGAAATATCCCTTAGTTACTCCGGTACCTTGAACGATGTCATCCTGCCGCTGTAGGGTAGGTCGAGGAGGGCGAGTAGACTCTCTATCAGAAAACCCTTTTTCAGGGGTCCTGGAGGCACCACTCCCTTCACTAAAGGGTTGGGGTAGGTTCCCAGCATGGACCTGACGTAGCTGTTCAAAATCACTGAGGGCAGCACTCACATCCCAATTCTTTCCTGTCAGGAGACAAAACAAAAGTGAATTGGGCACTTAGTATAGGAAAATTAAAGAAAGACACTAAATGATCACTCTAACCATCCTACCAAAATTAGCAGGCATATATACTCGTGCACACTTCAATCATTCTCCTTTCTTTGCCCTACTTGAATTTTCTTCATAATACTTCTATCTGAAACATCACAATTTCTTTATTTACTTATTGTCTACTTCCTAACTAAACTCCATAAACACAGAAACTTTGTCTCTCTGTGCAGAAAGGGCCCTTGGTGGCCTACTAACCTCATTTTACTTATAAAGGACATGAAGCCTAAAAAAATGGAATGACTTGCCCAAAGTCACAGTTAGTTTGCACCAGGGCTCAGCAAGAATCAAGACCAGGTCTTCTCATTTTGAGATCCAGAGAGTTCTTAACCTAGATGTCCTCTAGGGTGTCCTAAGCCATCTGAAATTGTATGCAAGGTTATATGCATGTGCATTTTTCTAAAGAAAGAGCTACTACTAGCTGTCATCAGATTTAAGAATTACCGCTCTACTGAAGACCCTAAAAGACAGATTTATCATAATGGATTTTTCTGTTGCTTTCTCCAGTTAAATTATTCAATAAATAACACACTACATAATTGTTCACACTTCCTTCTGTTCTATTGCATCTGCTACCACCTTAATTCAATTCCTATCACCTAGTATCCCACCTCCAATCCAACCTAAAGAATTCCACAAGATTATTCTTTTAAAGTAAGTTCTAATCATTTTAATTTCATAATTAAAATCTTTACTGGCTTAATCAGAGAAAGACAAATATCACATGATCTCACTTATCTGTGGAATATAATAAAAAAATAAGCTGATGAACAAAACAGACTCAAAGACACAGAAGTAGGGATCAGAATGACAAACCTCAGAGGAGGGAAGGTGAGGGGGGTGGGGGCAGGGATAAACCAAAGAACTTATATGCATATATGCATAACCAATGGACACAGACAATACTATGAAGGGGGGAGGGGACAGGAGTGGGGAAGAGGGTGTCAATGGGGGGAAAAGGAGAAACATCTGTAACAAAAATAAATTAATAATAATAAAAATAAATAAATAAAAATCTTTACTGGCTTACCACTGTCTATGGAAAAAAAGCCTAGGCTCTAGCCCTGGCCGATTTGGCTCAGCGGTTAGAGTGTCGGCCTGCAATCCAGAGAGACCCAGGTTCGGTTCCCACTAAGGGCACATACCTCGGTTGCAGTTTGTCCCCAGCCCTGGTTGGGTCGTGTGGGTGGCAACCACTCGATGTGTCTCTCTCACATCGATGTTTCTCTCTCTCTTCCTCCCTCCCTTTCTCCCGTTCTATCTGAAGATAAATGCAAAAATGTCCTCGGGTGAGGATTAAAAAAATAAATAAATAAAAAGCCTAGGCTCTTTTGTGACACTCAAAGCTTTCTACTACCTGATCTATTTTTCTAGCCTTTTTTCTGTACTTCAATTTCCCTGGGTATGAAAGTGGAGATATCATATGGGGTTGTTATGAAGATTAAGTGAATTGGAAGCATTATGAACAGTGCTTGGTACACAGAAAGCATTATATATGCATTTAATGCTGATGCTATTGTGTTTCTTGTTATTATTATAAGTTTCCAGTTAAGCTGTATTAATCATCCACGTCTAAATTTACTTCTGCACCATTACATTCATCATTTGTTCCAACTCCCTCTGCTCACTCTGCGTCAGTCATACTGGCCTCTTTGCTGTTCCTACAACATGCTAAAAACTGCTCCCACTTACAGCCTTTCCACTAACAATTCTCACTGCTCTTTCCCCAGTATATCTACACAGACCACTCCTCATCTCCTTCAGGTATTTGCTCAAATGTCACATTCTTAATAAGGCCTACCCTGACCACCCAATTAAAACTCACAACCTCGTCCAGCCAGTGTGGCTCAGTGGATTGAGCATTGTCCCATGAAGTGAGAGGTCCTGGCTCAATTACCAGTCAGGGCACATGCCTGGGTTATGGGCTTGATCCCCAACAGGGGACCTGTAGGAGGCAGCCGATCAATGTTCTCTCTCACATCGATGTTTCTATCTCTCTCTCTCTCTCTAAAAAAATCAATTAAAAAAACATATTGGAAAAAAAACAAAAAAAACACAACCTCATCATTCTTCTCACTATTTTCCATAACACCTTACAATACACTTTATAATTTACTTGGTTATAATGTTTTATTTATTAACTACCTTTCTCACTGTAAGAGCAGAGATTTTTGCTTGTTTTGTTCAAATATTTAAGACCTGGCACATAGTAGATACTCAATAAATATTTTTTGGAAAATAGAAAACTTTTGTCCTAAGGAATGAATGAATGACATCTGTCTTAAACACCGGACATATATTTCCAACTGTCTGCTTAACTCCTTAAAATCAGGTCCTCCTGAACAATCAACATGTCCAAAACTAAATGTTCATCATCTTCCCTCCCAAAACTTGCTTCTCCTCCTTCTATATTGCCTAAGTTAGTAATGGTGTCGCAATTCCTCCAGGCCAGAAACTTCAGTCATCTTCAGCTCTTGGTTCTGCCTCAGATCCCATTTCTCCTCTCCCCTCACTATCCAGTCAATCCAACTCTATCTGTACCCCTGAAACATCTCTCAAGTCCATTCTTTCTTGTCCATTTCTACTGTCACTGTCCTAAGCCAAGTTCTTATAATCTTCACCTGGTCTTTAGTCTTTGAGAGGGGCTTTCTAGTCTCTACTCCTAATCTCTCCTCTCTCTAATTTATTCTTTACATTACAACCAGAGTTAACTTTTAAAGAAAAAAGATAATAGACAGAGAGAAAATAACAATCAGATCCTTTGATTCCCCTTCTAAATTATATCTTAAGTTCATCCAATTCTCACTCTGTTGCTACCACTGTAGTTCATCTCGCCATCATCTCTCACCTAAACTACAGAAATAGTCTTGACTGATTTTACCACTTTTTTTCTGGCCACCTTCCAATCCATTCCATCCTTCAACCAGTACACTGATAAAAACTCAAATTTAATTATGTCACTCCCCTGGTTAACATCCTTTATCAGCTTCCCACTGGAAAAAAAAAAAAGAAATTTAAACTCTGTACCATAATCTACAAAGGCCCCCCATATTCTGTTTCTTTCCTGCCTATCTAACCAGCTTCCTACCTCACTCAGTATTCATTTTTCCAATGTGCCAAACTCTCTTTCACCTTAGAGTCCCTGCGTAAGCTATTTCTTTTACATAAGCACTCTCTTCTACATACTTTTGTCTTGCTACTCCCACACATCCTTCTGGGTTCAGCTCAAATGTCATTTCCTCTCGAAGGCCTTTCTTCACTCTCTATCTCATTTTGATTTCTCTCTTACACTTCCATAGCATGAGCGTGTATGCACATGGGTATGGGTGTATGGGTGTGTGTGTGTGCATGTGTGTGTGAGAGAAAACGTGTGTGTGTGTGAGAGAGAGAAAGTGAGAGAGAAAAATACACACAAGCATTAATTTGTAATATAATTATTAAGAGCCAGACTTTGAAACCAGACTGTCTAGGTTCAAATCTGACTTAACCTCTCTGAACCTGTTTTAAAATTATAATGCTGGGAATTTAAACCCTGATATTCCATATCCAAACTAAGCAAATGTCAAACTGTCACACCTTTCTAAGGGCTGACTATTTAAAAAATTACCCAATCAGCCTGGCCAGTGTGGCTCAGTGGATTGAGCATGTCTCCTGGACTGAGAGGTCACAGTTCAATTCCCAGTCAGGGCCCAGGTTGTGGGCTTGATCCCTAGTTGGGGGGTGGGGATGGGAGGCAGCTGATCAATGTTTCTCTTTCATATCGATGTTTCTCTTCCTCTCTCTCTTTCCATACTCCCTCCTCCCTCCCTTCCTCCCTCACACTCTCTCTAAAAAAAAAAAAAAAAAAAAAAAAATCAATGGAAAAAAATCCTCTGGTGAAGATTAACAAAAACAAAAAGCATCTGTTAATAATGACTATAAGAATCCCACACTGCACAATTCCAAGCCTTATGGACTTTAAAATCTAGAACATTCACACTTATGCATATATACACATGTAAGTAAACAAAAGCAACAAAATGAAAACATTAAATTAATTCACTCTACATAGAATTACCCATACAAAATAGGAAAGGAAAGAATCAAAACCATGGATAATCCCAAATATGAAAATCCAAGTCATTTATATGTAAAGAAGTCTTAAAGATCTAGTTACGCTTTTAGTGAACTAATATAAAATTTTACTTGCATTACCTAAGCATAAATTGGCTGTGGAGAAAGCTACCCCAAAAAAATTTAAGGTGAAAGGAGAAGTATGCATTTTTAAATTATGGTGGATCAAACATAGAGTAGATTAAAGTAACTTAAAAAGTCAAGGCCTATCATACACAAAATGTCTTCCTGATCAATTTAAATGTTCCAAATCATCCTAATAAGTATCCCATTTTACTTTCTTTACATTTTCCCTCAATGACTTCTTACCTTCCAGGAGGTCTCGGGCCAGCCCTGGCTCAGCTCCTGTGGAACGAACAAAATCCGACAGGACAGCATCCATGTCCAGGGTCATGTGATCATTAAGTACTTTCAGGCAGTGGATGTAGGGGGAACATAGATCAAAATTCAAGCCTCCACCTAGGAAGAAATAAACACATAAGGCTCAAATTACACTGAACCATGATAATCATAGCCCAATTTCAGCAGCTTCCTTCCTAACCCCATGGAGAAATTAACCATCCTAGCTCATTCATTTCAGTTGAATTTATTATGAAGAGTAACACTTCATTTCCTAATTTCTCATTAATATTAATTCCTTAACTACTACATTAACCACATAACCATAATACCACTCTGAATAATGTTTTTTCCCTACCTTTCCAGAGTACTACATTCTACCTATCAGTTTGCTTATTTAAACGAATGAAAGGAAGCAGCAGATAACCTCCCTGAAGAACTCCTCACCTGCATTATTCTCTAACACAGCACCTTGTTTACTTCCTTCCCAGCACTTAACAAACTTTGAAATCATTTAAATTAGTTACTATCTAGCCTCTTCCTCCAATATGTAAGTTTCTTGAAAGCAAGGAGCTTGTGTGTGCTGTTCACTTATATGTCCCTGGCATGTATCACTTGGCACTTGGCACGGTGCTTGGTACACAGGCCCTCAGTAAGTATTTACTGAATGTTAATGAATGAATGAAAATTATACACTAAATAACTTTACAGCTAACCACTCTTCTGATGCTAGCTAAGGAAATGGGAGGAGCAAACTGATAGCTAGAACAACTCAAAATAAAACCATAAGCTATTTACAGAGTGGAGATCCTAAGGTTCATAACAAAAGTCAATCTTTGTCCACTAACTCCACTCAGGTCAAATGACTGCCAAATAGATTCACCTGAAAAAGATCTCTTCAGACTTGACTTTGGCAGAAACTATATCCCTGACTGACAGCCTGGCACCAATCCACATTCCTCTGAAGTTAGCAGTCCCATCTGAGGAAGCAATAAATGGAGTGAAGAACAATCTCTAACCAAATTCTGCCATATCAAACAGGTTGTTTACAGTTCTCTATAGAAGACGACTTGCTTATGAATTCACCAAGTAGACACCTGCCCTACCACACCTATAGCAATCTCTCGCCTTTTGGGGAAGGCAAAAGTAAAATTCTCAAAGGTAACGAGTAACTGTCTCTCCCAAAACATCTCAGACACTTTTTCTTCATTCCACCCTTGACCCGAGGACACAGTTTGTTTAATGGTGTGAGCAGATCCTGATTTTCTGCACTCCTTAGAAACATTAAGGCAATCATTTGGGGGTTATAAAGCCAGTAGAGGTCACTAACTCAGTAACAATGAATTTTCATATGAGAGAGAGATGGCAAAATAGAAAGTATTCTCTCTTGTACTATTCCAGTAGCAAAAGAGATACGCAAGTGCCAGGGCATGTTTTATGCATATTTGTAGCCCCAATTTCTAACATAACATCTACAATACTGTAGGCAGTTAATAAATTATTATATGAACCTCCACATAAGCCACCACTGAACCAAACAATTTGAGGCTTATCTCAGCAGATCAGAAATTCTAAGGTACTTCATACTTCATATCACTCCCCTATTTCTAATGGTCTTCCCTGGTCCCAGTCCATCACTTGAAGTTTTAGAAACTCTCCTTTCTAAAGAGACATCAACCGTACTATCACTACTTCCACTATCCTCATAGCATACGATTTTTAACTACACCTATATGTATTAGCTGGGTGACTTTTGTCAAATTACATACAGGGTTTCAGCTGCCTCTTGTATGTCCTATATTTGGAGTCAGTGACTTCTAAGACCCTTTCCAGACTTAAAAAAAAAAAAATGAATTTCAGCCCTGGCTGGTTTGGCTCAGCAGTTAGAGCATCGGCCTGCAGACCCAGAGATTACATACAGGTTCAGTTCCCACTAAGGGCATGTACCTCGGTTGCAGTTTGTCCCAGGCCCTAGTTGAGGTCATGTGGGTGGCGGCCACTCGATGTGTCTCTCTCACATCGATGTTTCTCTCTCTCTCTTCCTCCCTCTCTCCCTCACACTCTCTCTGAAGATAAGTGCAAAAAATGTCGAGTAAGGATTTAAAAAAATAAATAATTAATTAAATTTCTTCAGAATTCATAGATGAATGAGTGGCTTCTCCCTCCCCTAATACAGGCAAGATTTCTTCTCTAGTCCCATTTTAGTCACAGGAGATAGCAGCAGCCCAAATAACTTAAATGCATGAATAATCCAAAACCAAGAGCATGCTTGAAAATCTCAATCTCCTTTAAAAACAATGTGCAAAGGAACTTAGTCAACCCACTTTAATAACCTTCTGAAAGAAAGTGGGAAATATACAATAAACACAGAGATAGCAATCAGCAAAAAAGTGCTCAGTAGAGAAGAGTTGGTGAAGCCACAGGAACGAACGTAAGGCAATTTCCCAGCCAGACACAGGCTTCTGAGTGAGAGAAGCCAATGAAAACCATCAATGTCAAGGCATCATAAATCTCATATGGCAACATAGTAGGTCATTCTTTTCAGGAACTTTTTTTTTTTTTTTAAATAACTTAGAGGTCCAACATGATCTAGCATGACTTGCTCAAAAATTCAAAACACTAAACCATACTTCTTGGCAGCATTCTTATATTTGGTGTCTTCAGGTGCATGCTATGAACTCCACCCTAACCCCACCCAACAGGTGAAGACAGCAGCTTTTGTTACATCACCATCAACAAATGGCTTGAGCTTCTCAAATTCCAAATGGGAATATCCAAGCCAATGACTAAAACTCACAATCCTTGGCTGTCTCAGAACACAGGAAGGAAATGAAGAAAACAAAACACTGGCTTTCAAACTTCCAAATGAAACAGAAGAAGCTCTCAAATAGTTGTTAACTGAATGGTATTCAGACAAATCTCAACTGGAGTCAAAATCCTCCAATCTTCCAAATGGAAGAGAATTTAGCAATTATTAATCCATAGTCTGTCCCCATGCAAGAAGCCTTCTATTATATCTGACAGATCAACCATCCAGTCTCCACACGAATACAAGCTTTGATGAAGAAATCATCCTTTGCCAGGAGGTCTTATTGTTAGACAGGTCTAATTGTTAGGACATTCTTTCTAAAATAAATCACCAGCCCTCCTGCACCTGTAACTTTCACATAATGGTCCTTGTTCTGTTCTCCAGAACAATAAAATCTATTCCCAGGAATGATGAAATTTTCATGGAAAATTATTCAGCATTTCTTTACATAAAAATCTGTTCTGGATCAGCACTGTGATGTTATGAGCCAGCCAGTGACCTTTATTTTACAAAATCCTCTCTTATAAAGCAGTACTTGCTTTTACCTGTATTCATTTGTAAATGTTTGAGTGACCCTATAGTATGAATTAAACATGTGGAATGAAATTGGGTACCTTATTCCAAATTCACTTCTGCTACTATCTTTGCCTCTCATCCCTACTTTTACTTTTGTACCCTCTTGAACTGATGCCAACAATCAAGAATAAAAAACAATATTAAGCACCCTCAAAAATACTATCTTACTCATTAATGACAAACCTCCTGCAGCAGGCTTATTATTCCAGTTTACAAAGAGATACAAGGCTTGAAAAGTCAGGTGGGTTGTTCAAAGTCTGAACTCAGATATTTTGAACACATTCTCTCTCTACCACACTGCCTCCCAAAGGACAAGGACTTTCTTGATTCCCAGAACCGTACTGATTCTTACCCGTTTAATTCATTCACCAATAGGAAAAGACTGTGTCTCTCTCTAATATTTATTAAAGACTTAGACACCTGCCTTATATTTTCCTCATTTCAAATCCTACCATTTTCCTCAGCAATTTCAACACCCACCTACACAATCCATCTAACATTTCTACCTCAGAGTTCCATGATCCCATCAAATGTGAAAACCTCCATCTCTCCACCAACAACTCAGTCCTGGTTCTACCATCTCGTGAAACCATTCCACTCTAAATCTCTAACTCCCAACCTCTTACTCTGGCTACAACCTCATCTCCTTCCAGCTTTTCCTCTCCACTACTAAACCTGCTCTCTCATCTCAAGACATCCTCTTCTGAGACTAACACATCCAATTTCTTAATCAACATATTCGTTAATTCAACAAAAATTCATGGAATGCCTAATTTGTGTTATAGAAAAAGAAAACCATACAATTTTACAAACAACTATAATTTACTAAAGAAATGTTGAGGGGAGGGGTGTTATCTTCTATAGGAAGTCAGGAAAAGTTTTCCCAAGGAAGTGCTATTACATCAAAGAACAGAAAAACAAGTAGAAACTGGAGAGACAAACTGGGAAAGAATGCTCCAAGGAGAGAAAACATAAGAGAGATGAGAATGGTGCAAAATGAGGATGAAGAGAGGGCCTAGTGGATCCTGTTAAAGATTGAGATTTAGCCCAGTTGGTGTGGCTCAGCAGCTGAGCACTGACCCATGCACCAAGGGGTCACTGGTTCGATTCCCAGACAAGGCACCATGCCCAGGTTGTGGGCCCGATCCCCAGTGGGGTGCATACAGGAGGCTACCAGCTGATGTTCTCTCTCATTGATGTTTCTGTCTCTCCCTCTCCCTTCCTCTCTCTCTAAAATCAATAAACTAAAAATATTTTTTAAAAAACAATTGGGATTTCTCCTAAAAGTAACCAGAAGCCATTGAAGGGTTGTAGGCAGAAGCAGGATGTAATCAAATTTGAATTATTAAAAAATCACTCTACGCCCTGGCCGGTTTGGCTCAGCGGTTAGAGCGTCGGCCTGCAGTCCGGAGAGACCCGGGTTCGGTTCCCGCTAAGGAACCTACCTCGGTTGCAGTTTGTCCCCGGCCCTGGTTGGGTCGTGCAGGTGGCAGCCACTCAATGTGTCCCTTTCACGTCGATGTTTTTCTCTCTCTCCCTCCCACTCTATCTGAACAAAATATGGAAAAATGTCCTCAGGTGAGGATAAAAAAAAAAAAAAAATCACTCTACTTGCAGTGAAAAAAATAGTATGGAGGAAACAAAAGTGGTTTTAGGGAGAACTGATTAGAATATTATTACAAAAGAGATGATGGTGAGCTGGACTAGGAATAATAGCAGTGAAACTGAGAAAAATGAATACATTCCACTTTGTCCCTTCTTCCATAACTGAATGTGAACCCAGTGATTGATCACTTATTTTCCTGTAAAAACCTAGATCCTTAATCTATTTCACCTGCCCAATGTGGACATGTCCCACATTCAACTTCTCTGGTACTTAACAGGGTTTTGAGCAAGACAGATCACATAACCTTACAGAGCAATACAACTATAAATAATGGTATTCAGTCTCATTCCCTTCAAAGAAACACTGCTTGTCTTCTGATTGACTTTGGTACCTCAACCAAACTTCTCTATATTATCCCATACCTTCAGCATTCTCTTTGAGCCTCCTACTTATCACCTCTCTTACTCTTGGAAGATGACCTTGCCTCTAATTTCACACAAAAAAATTACAAAACAAGGCAAGAGAATTCCTTCAAATTTCCTCCTCTGCTCCTATCTGCTGGCTGCTAGTCTCTTCCTCCCTGCAGAACTCCCTAAAATAGATAATTACTGATGCTACTTTCTCACCTTATATTCAGTCCTCAACCTACTAAAATAGGCTTCTAGTGAAAATGAATGGAGGTTCTTCAAAAAACTAAAAGTCAAACTACCATATGACCTGGCAATTCCACTCCTGGTTATTTATCTGAAGAAATTCAAAACACTAATTCAAAAAGATATGTGCACCCCTATGTTCATTGCAGCATTATTTACAATAGCCAAGATATGGAAGCAACCTAACTGTCCATCAAAAGATGAATGGATAAAGAAGATGTGGTACATACATACAATGGAATATCACTTGGGCATAAAAAAAGAATAAAATCTTTGCCATTTGCCACAACATGGATGGGCCTATAGAATATTGTGCTAAGTGAAATAACGCAGACAGAGAAAGATAAATACCATAGGCATTCACTTATATGTGGAATCTAAAAAATAAAATACATGAACAAACAAAGTAGAAACAAAGTCACAGCTAGAGAAAACTGATGGTCACCAGATGCAAAGGGGGTTAGAGGATGGGTCGAAAAGGTGAAAGGTATAAGTACAAATTGTCTATTATAAAAGCAGTCACAGGGATAGAAAGTACAACATAGGGAATATAGTCAATAATATTGTAATAACTATGGTGCCAGATGGGTACTAGACTTATTGGGGTGATCAATCCGTAAGGTACATAAATGTCTATTCATTATGTTGTGCACCTAAAACTAATATACTATTATATGTCAACAATAACTGAAAAATAAATAAAATTTTTTAAAAAGAAAGAGAAGCCCTGGCCGGTTTGGCTCAGCGGTTAGAGCGTCATCCTGCGGTCCAGAGAGACCCGGGTTCGGTTCCTGCTAAGGGCACATACTTCAGTAGCAGTTTGTCCCCGATCCTGGTTGGGTTGTGCGGGTGGCAGCCACTCGATGTGTCCCTTTCACGTCGATGTTTCTCTCTCTCTCTCTCTCTCTCTCCCTCTCACTCTATCCAAACAAAATATGGAAAAATGTCCTCGGGTGAGGATAAAAAAAAAAAAAGAGAATATCTCTGACATAGATAAGATCATCACGGTCCCCTTTACTGCTTATCTAAAGTGATCTCTTTGTAGCATTTGATACTTACTGACCATTCTTCCGGCCTCTGACTCTGCATCTCATTCACCTTTGTGGGCTCCTCTTCCTGTGCCGTCAACAAAGGTATGCACCCACAGTTCTAACCTCAGGCCTTCTATCTTTTCATTTTACATGATCCCCATGAGAAACTTCATACATGCCCCTGAGCACCCAAATGCTGATGACTCCAAATGTACTTGACAGCCCCAAACTCTTTATATCTCCCCTCATCTGGGAATCCCACATGCACTTCACACTCAGCACATTAAAACATGAGCTCATTCTCTCGTCTCTGTCCCCAACCCTTTCAAACTATTTCTCATCTAGTATTGCTTATTCTAAAAAAATGATACCATCACCCAAATCAAAAGCCTGGGAGCCACCCAGGACTTCTCTCTTGCCTTATCCTCACTCACAAATAGTCTTTTACTAAGTTTTACTAATTTTACCTTTAAAATTGTTCTCAAATCCATCTACCACCTTCCACTTGCTACATCTCTTTTATTCTCTCTCAGGTTTTCATAACCTGGACCCCAGGAAATAGTTTCATTAGCTGCTTCTCCCTCTTCCTCTACCCAGCCATTATTTACAGTGGCTGCTTGTGGAGGCTAATCAATCTAAAATGCAAATATGGTATTATTATATCCTACTGCTCCAAATTCTTTAATGGATCTGCAATGACTAAAGTGTAAGATCCAAATTCCTATACATGATAAATAAGGCCCTTCATGACCAGCTGTTATCTAACTCTCCAGCCTAATTTATTTCTCATCATCCACCTTCTTGTACTGGCAGTTCCCCAAGTACACTATGTGTTTCAAATTTCAGTTCCTTTGCACACGCTGTTCCCTCTGCCTGGAATGACTCCTGGTCTAGCACGTGAATTCTTATCTCTTCTCTAAGACTAACTTGAGCACTACATCAATCGCAAAACCTTCTCTGGTCCCCCAAGTTAAATTGATCACCTCCTTGGTGATACACTTTGTACTGTACCTCTATCATATTATTAATCAGACTGCACAGTGTTTGTGCTTATTTGCAGCTTTGTCTCCCCACTAAACCATGAGCAATTTAAGGGCAGGAATTTTGTCTTGTTCATCCTGTATCCCTAGCATCAAAGTACCTAGTACCTAGCACTCCGTTTTTGTTCAGATTGACTGAACTGTATTTGTACTAGTACCCCACTACACACACACACACACACACACACGGTATTTGCTGATAATCAAATAATCAATGTTGTAAACAGGTGAGTCTAAAACAGTGGCTCATCTCAAAGACATTTGCTTAAGATTGTTATATGATCTTATTTGCAATAGATTTCTCAAACACTGTTTAGTTCAAACTAATATTAAAATCAGTCTGCATGCTCTGAGTACCCAACTGTTTAGTAACAGAGAAAAATGACCCAAAGTTAAATACTGATTGTAGATAATAGAGCTATTTTAAAATGCCTGAGAAACCACTGACCCTACATTCTCTCGTCTACAATATCTCCCAAAGTGTCCTCATTCTTCCAGCATACCCACTCTCTTGGTTCCACTGAAACATTACAGCTGTGTCTGCGTCCTCTCCAACTCCTCCCCAAACTCACTGGAAAACCACAACCTTTAAGACTGTGAAGAATTTTCAAAGGTCAGAGACTCCTCCATGTCTGTGATGTCAGTCCAGAGGAATCCAGACAGGGAGAAAGAGGAGGGACAAAAACCTTTAGAAATTTCACACAATCTTGATTAGGTGGGAGGGAGAGATGAAAGACTATCTTGGCAGATTGTTTTTAGTTAATATGGTTCCTTCCAAGAGAAAGAAACAAAATACAAGCATCTTAGAAAAAAAGAAAATATGACCAAATTCCATACTTAAAGAGACCTATGTTATCACTAAATGTTACAACCCAGGGATAATAAACATGAGCCTAAAAGAAAGAAAAGAAGTAATGTGTGTTAACGTTTTAGATATTATTTCATTTAAACTTCCAAATAACTCTAAGAGGTTTGTTTTTACTATTAACCCCACATTATAAATGAAGACACTAAAGCTCACAAAGGTTAGGTAATCTACCCAAGGTTACAGAGGTAAAAAGTGGTAGGACCAGGATTTTTATGAATCCAGCCTATCTCCCTCCCAAGACCGGACTCTTGCACTATTCCACACTTAGAATATTTTTTTTCTTTATATTTTAGAGAGGAAGGGAGAGAGAGAAACATCAATGAGAGAGAACATCAATTGGCTGCTTCCTACACACCCCCCAAGGAGAAAGCGCGGGGCAGTCATGTGGAAGTCCATTCTCACTGCTTTAATTCCTTTCATCTCACACTGCAAGACAGAATTGACTCTGAGTTTAGACAGATCTGGGTTCAAATCCCCAACCTACCACTAAGGGCTATGCAATCATGGATAAGTAATATAGCCATTTTGTGCCTCCATTTCTTCATGTATAAAATGGGAAAAATATCTGGATGTCAGACTTTTTGTTATGATTAAATAATTTAAGATTTGTAAAGCCTTTGGGGCAGTGCCTAGCACACAGTAAGTCCTCAAAAAATGTCAGCTGCCTTCTTTCTATCTAAATCCCTATCACGCACTCTGCTTCACTCCACTATTGCCCAGCACAGTCCCTACATCTCTCCTTCAAAAGCTCCCTCTGCTCCTCCCAAACAAACCCTCCAGTCCTACAACCATTTCCAAGGCACAGCCTTAACACACACATACACACAGCATCCAGTCTCCATCATTCCCATTCCAGTCTTTCAACTCTTTGAGCCTTCAAGAAAAATGTTGTAAAGGAGGTCCCTTAGTCCCTTCTACCAGAAGATCCCTCAAAAATAACAGCAAAAAAATATATCTGTCCTCTCCTAGATGTACAGACACAGCTAAAGAGCTCATTTATTTCCAAATCTCCAGGACCAGCATTTCACATATATTTACTGAAATTCTAATGTCTTAATCTACCAGCTCTACTTCCTCACCTTTACTCCTTACTACTTGACTCATTCCAGATTCAAAGACGTTATCATATTCTCTTAATTTCATACATGTTATCCATTTTTTTGGATTGTTGGAAAGAAATGTTTACATCTCCTCCTACTCATCATGCACAATTCTGGGATGTTTTCTACCTCCACCACAGTATATACTCAGCATATGTGTACCTTCTCCCTTAAGTCAAACTTAAGAGAAAAAAACTCAATGCAATCATATAATTTACCGCTCCTCAAACAATTTATTAGTTTACCATATGCTATTGTGGATACATATCAATAAGACTCAAAAGTTGGCCCCATGGCTTCATCACTATCACTGGTATGAGTCAGAACATGATTTAACTATTTCTTTCTTTTTTTTAAATAAGGCCTGCAAATAGCAAAACAAATCTCTAAGAGACAAATCCAATTAATAGACAAATGCTACTATAAAGATCACGGAGATGTTCACAGAGAACTCCTTGTGAACTGGCATTTATCTTTTTGGTGCTACTGATAAAAGGCTCCTTGGGTTACAGTTATTTGGGAAATTTAATAATTTGGAAGGCTTGTACAATGGAAGTTGACCTTTGGAAAAATAAGAGCAGAGAGAGTCAGAGAGAAAGTCTGTTATTATTATATTGGCACAACAACAGTAATTTGAATAGAAACGGCAATCATGTTAATGTTTACCTTTTCAGATTCAGACCAGTATGTCTATATGCCACACATAATGAATTTTTTGTTTTTCCTTTCAGGTAGGGCCATCGATAGTCCAAGGTTTGGTTCTCAAACAAATTCAACTTTTAAAAAAATAGCCTATAAAAACAAAAATTCTACTTGAGCCCTTAAAGATTCTGATAACTGAACTTTTGACATGAGAGAAAAAATAAATACTACAAATCAACAGAGACTAGTCTAATAGCAAAACACAGTTTCTTTAGAATCAACCCTCAAACATTCAGTAGCTAACAATTTTCTCTCCCTTTTTCTGATTTCTAATTATAGGGCATTTCACGTCAGTTACAAAACTTCCATTCAAAGGGGGAAATGACAGAAAGAAAATTCCAATTAGCTCTTTCTTTTTAACGAGGCAGCGGAGGCAGAGATGCGGGTCTGTGTGAAGAACCTGACTGGCAAGACCACTACCCTCAAGGTTGAAGCCAGTGACATCACTGAGAATGTCAAAATCTAATCCAAGAAAAGGAGGGTATCTTCATGGACCAGCAGCATTTGATTTTGGCGGGCAGACAGCTGGAGGACAGCCACACTCTCAGACTGCAATATTCAGAAAGAGTCCACCTGCCCTTGGCGCTTCATCTGAGGGGAGGCATCATGGAGCCTTCCCTCCACCAGCTCACCCAGAACTACAACTGACAATATAATCTGCAAGCGTTAGCCCACCTGCATCCCTGCGCTGTCAAATGCCGCAGAGGTATGGCCACACCAACCACCTGCGCTCCAAGAAGATTAAATGAGGCCCTTCCACCACCTCCTTGGCCCACAGGGCAGCCTCCTGCCTGAACGCTGTGGTCCTGGGGCCTCAATAAAGTTTTCCTTTCATTGACTGGGGGAAAAAAATAGAAAAAAAAATTCCAATTACTGTACTATCTATCTGCAATTAGTTATCCATTGGAAATAAATACACTTTGTAAATTTCTTCTAGTAAATTAACTTCCTTCAACATATATATACTAATTTTTTTTTTATCCTCACCCGAGGCCATTTTTTCATTTTTTTCCCCATTCTTTTGTTCAGATAGAGTGGGGGAGAGAGAGAGAGAGAAACATCTACATGAAAGGGACATATCAAGTGGTCGCCACCCACACGACGCAACCAGGGCTGGGGGCAAACTGGAACCGAGGTACGCGCACCTAGCGGGAACCGAAGCCGGGTCTCTCTGGACTGCAGGCCAAGGCTCCAACCGTTGAGCCAAACCAGCCAGGGCCATTTTTCCATTTTTTATTCAGATAGAGCGGGAGGGAGAGAGAGGAAGAGAAAGAAACATCAATGTGAAAGGGACACATAGAGTGGCCGCCACCTGCACGACCCAACTAGGGCCAGGGACAAACTGCAGCCAAGGTAAATGCCCTTAGCGGAAACCGAACCCCAGTCTCTGTGGACCGCATGCTGACGCTCTAACCACTGAACGAAGCTGGCCAGTGCTTTTAATGCTTCAAACAATTTTTAAAAACTGGCCCTGGCCAATGTGGCTCAGTTAGTTGAAGCATCATCCTATACATGGGAAGGTCTCGCATTCCATTCCCATTCAGGGCACATGCCTAGATGGCGGGTTTGATCTCCAATCAGCATGAGTATTAAAGGAAACTGATGGATGTTTGTTTCTTTTTCTCTCTTCCTCCCCTTTCTCTAGAAAAATCAATGAATATATCCTCGGATGAGGATTAACAAAAAACAAAACAAAAACTTGCCTTTTATAAAATTATATAATTCAATTAAAAAAGATACTTGTGCCCTGGCCAGTTTGGCTCAGCAGTTAGAGCGTCAGCCCGCAGACCAATGAGTCATGGGTTCGATTCCAGTCAAGGGCATGTGCCTCGGGTTATGGTTCGTCCCTGGCCCTGATTAGGATCGTGCAGGAGGTAACCAGTCGATGTGTCCCTACCACGTCCATTTATCTCTCTCTCCTCCTCTTTCCCTCCCACTCTATCTGAACAAAAATGGAAAAGTATGCTCAGGTGAGGATAAAAAAAAAAGATACTTGTGCCCTGGCTGGTTTGGCTCAGCGGTTAGATTATCAGCCCCAGGTTCAATTCCCAGTCAAGGGCATGTACCTGGGTTGCAGATTTGGTCAGGGTCATGGGGGAGGCAACCAATCAAAGTGTCTCTCTCACATCGATTTTCTCTCTCTCTCTCTCTCTCTCTCTCTCTCTCCCCCCTATCTAAAAATCAATGGGAAAATATCCTCGGGTGAGGATTAACAGGCGAAAACAGATACTTGTTATTACTATTATTATTTTTCATTCTCCATCTGCAAGTTCCATAATTCCATCTTTCCTGGCCATATCTAAACCTCGCTGGAGCTCCTATAGGTCAGTATGTAAAATATTCACTGGCACTTGCTGTTATAATAAAGTGGCTTGTGATATTAGCTAGGCTTCCTGATACTCACATCTTATCTCTCTAATTTGACTATCAGTCATTCATTCAAAATTTACCAAACTGGGGCCCTGGTCATTTTGGCTCAGCGGTTAGAGCGCTGGCCTGCGGACCTAAGGGTCTCAGATTCTATTCCAGTCAAGGGCATGCACCTGGGTTGCAGGTTCAATTCCCATCCCCAGTTGGGGTCATGCAGGAGGAAATCAATTGATGTGTCTCTCACATCCATGTCTCTTTCTCTCTTCCTCCCTATGTCTTCCCCTCCCTTCCTCCCTTCCACTCTCTCTAAAAATCAATTAAGTATCCATGAATAAGGATTAACAAACAAACAAACAAAAATACCAAACTGGGTCTATCATGTACTAGGCACTGCTGCCCTAGAGCCTGGAGATACAAACGAAGAAGAGAAGCCACAAGTCTATCTTCAAGGCACTCCAGTCTGAAGACAGAAATCTAAACATGTTATTAGTGCCCAATGGGGTAGGAACAGGTATAAGGAGCAACCAGTTTAGCCGAGTTTCAAACTGAGTCTTTAGGATATGTAAGAGCTTGACAGGCTGGAGAACAAGATACGTTCTAAACAGAATTAAGATCCCTTAGGTTGGCACCTTTCTTTTACACTTTTAAAATATTTAAACAGGCTAACAAACTGTCTGGCACATAGCAGATGCCTAACAAATATTTGTGGTTCTAAATTATACATGCTAGTCCATATATGTAGACAACTGAGAGCTAATCTATGCCTAAAATAGGCATGTGAATTATTACTGGTTTTATTTATTTTATTTTTTCTTTATTGATTTTAAAGGAAGAGGGAGAGATAGATAGAAACATCAATGAAAGAGAACATTGAGTGGCCACCTCCTGCATGCCCCACACTGGGGATTTGGCCCATAAACTGGGCATGTGCCCTGATCAGGAATCGAACCGGTGACCTCTTGGTGTATGGGTTGACGCTTAAATAATACCCAGAAAATAAGAAGCGTGGCCTAAATTCTTCTGAATAAGAATACAGGGTTCAGCCCTGGCTGGTTTGGATCAGCAGTTAGAGCGTCAGCCCGCGGCCCAGAGAGTCTCGGGTTCGGTTTCCGCTAGGGTGACATACCTCAGTTGCAGTTTGTCCCCAGCCCCAGTTGGGGTCATGTGTATGGCAACTACTCGATGTGTCTCTCTCACGTCAATGTTTCTCTCTCTCTCTCTCTCTTCACCCCTCTCTCCCACCTACTCTATCTGAAGATAAGTGCAAAAAAATGTCCGCGAGTGAGGATTAAAAAAAAAAAAAAATACAGGGTTCATATCAGCTCTCCAGGAATGTACAGCAAAATTAAATCTCAGTCTTGTCATACAAACTCCACAGGCTAAAGAACTCTTTAATATTTTGCTTTTAAAAATACCATCTATCCAGCCCAGCTGGTCCCATGGACTGAGAGGTCCTGGTTTGATTCCCGGTCAGGGCACATGCCCAGGTTTCGGGCTCGATCCCCAGTAGGGGGCATGCAAGAGGCAGCCTACTGATGTTTCTGTCTCTCTCCCTTCCTCTCTCTCTAAAATATCAAGTAAAACATTTAAAAATAAATCAATAAATAAAAATAAAAATACCTTCCATGTTCATCCATCACCATCCTACCCAACCCCTACCAATCCCATCAACACATATGTACTTCTATTTCCAGGTTGCTGTTAAGAAGCAGAAACTCTAACCCAGATACTCTATCCTAAGTATCATTTGGGGCTCTTACATTTATTTGTACAGGTTGTGCCTTTTGTGCTAATGTTTCTTTCAAAAGCAACCAGGCCTCTTATATTTATGCATATAAAATTAGTTACAAACATTTAACACAATCTGACAATTCTATTCTACCTGAGAATACAGACTATACACTTCCATTATTTACATAATTGACACTTCACATTTGGGACTTATGTGGAATAAGCCTGGTGGTGAGGTACAGAGAGTCAGTCTATTTTCCTTGTTTAGCACTTTAGCATTATGGATTTTAGAATTAGGACATCAGAGATCACTTCACTTTATACCCTCAAGTTACAGATGACAGCACTGAGAACCAGGTAAGTTTTAGAGACTTGCCCATAGTCACAGAGCTAACTAGTGATAAAACTGTGCATAGGACATAAATCTGTTGACTCCCATTCCAGCAATCTTTACTTGACTTCACATATATAGATAACTTTCAATTCTCTAAGTGATCCATTTTGTGACTTTACGTCCTACCGCCATCCAGCTAAATCCTTACTGTTAAGAAAAAGATGAATATTTAGGAAATTTAATCACTTAAGCAAACCATATTAAGAAAGGAAAATCATTTAAAAAAAATCATGAAGGCATGGTACAATCAAATCATCATTTATGTTTTGCTCATCACCTCTAAAGATATAAACTGGATTTGAAAGTATTGTCTAGCACCATATCCCTGAGGTCTTAAGTATTGTAGCAAGAGAGTAGGATAAAATTATGTTTGACATAGGTATAAATATTTTTCTCTTCCATGTATAGTTTAAGGCTATAATATACTTGTCATATGCCATTAAGAAATCACAGCAATAACTACATTATGAACAGGAAAACACAAAAATAAAAACCAAGAAATAAATAAAACACCAACTTTTAACAAATTACATCTCATTGTCCAAAAGGATAAAATACCTGAAAGCATCAAAGCAACCACTTTCCTCATATTCACATTTATTCGTGCTTATTTGTAGGAAAGCTAAATTTCTTCTTTCTTTTAGAAAGGGCAACCATCAACATAGCAGCACACAGGTCACTGTGTCATTCAATAAGCATTTATTAAGGGCTTACTCTGTGCCAGGCAGTCTGCTAAGTGAAGGGGACACATTAGCCAATAAGTCATTATCCCTGCTTTTTTTTTTAAATATGTTTTTATTGGTCTTTTTTAGAGAACGAGAGTAAGGAAGAAATAGAAACAGTGATGTGAGAGAGAAACATCTAGTGGCTGCCTCCTGCACACCCCCTACTGGGGATCGAGGCTGCAACCCAGGCATGTGCCCTGACTGGGAATCGAGCCTGGACCTCTTAGTCCATGGGATGACGCTCAATCCACCAAGCCACACCAGCTGGACATCCCTGCTTTCTCTAAGTTCATCTAATGAGCTGGTTCCAGAGAAAACCTCAAGACAGCTAACTTCCCTTATTCAACAAAGATTTATTGAGTGCCAGGCTCCAGAAACAGGGGGGGCGGGGGGGATGAGGAAATTCTAGAAAGTGGTCCTTTCAAAATTTACTAAACAACCTGCTCGTTTGAATTACTGAAACCACATATTCTCCAAGAACATCAAGTATCAGAAGTTGGCTATAAAGGCTTTTGATGATAACACCTAACCAAATATTTGGGTCAAAGATACTATTTCCCTAATCCTACTACTTAGTGAGACCAGGCAGATACTGTCTTGGACTGATACATTTTTGTTATTTTAAGATGCATATTGTGGTTGACCTTACCAATAATCTGAGATAAGTTGTTTCCTTTGTAGAAAGATGCTTCCAGTAGAACGCACTATAAGCCTCTAAAGTAAAACATGTGACAAATCCTGTTACACTTTCTTGACCCCATACAGTATGTCAAAGCAGTATAGGCAACCCTTCATGATGACATAGCACCAGGCCAAGTTTTCAGGTGACAGGTCTCTGCTTTCCTTCTTCCTTCCACATAAAATACAAAAAGCATTAATTAGTAAACAAGTCATATGGCAAATATCCCATTTTCCTGACTTTTTCTTCTTAAAACTAATTCAAGAAACCAATCCTTATGAGTTCTACCCAATTAATATTTTTAATATTATTATTGGTAGCAATGGTGGTAGCAATTCACAGAAATAAGTGGTGAGGAGATAGAGGAAACATCAGAGGCCACTCTCATCTATCAAAAATTCAACCCAGTTTAACTGGAATTGAAAAGCAAGCATTTTCAATCCTACCAAAGGGTCAAGAAGTTATTTCTATCAAAAAAGCCGAGGGCTGACTCCTGCAATGCAAAAATCACAAATTTCTCCTTAAATGTGCCCTGAAATGCTAGGCCTAATTGGTTTAATTTGGAAATGTTAAGACCATAGTCTCAGCAAGAATCTGATACTGTAAATCTCTGTCACCCCAACCCCTTTCCCAAATGCTTTACCCACAGTTTAAGGTTCAATAAATATTCTTCTGAAGAAGAAATATTTAACAATTAGGAAGCTGCTCAAGAAAGACAAACTGAAAACACTTAGCATTCCTTTTTAAAGTTTAACTACCATTTATTGTGCACCAATAAAAGTACCAAGCACTAGATGAGACAGAGCCACATAAATCATCTCATTAACCTCACGAATATGCCCAGATACTCCTGAATCCCCAAAACTAAACTGACTGGATCCGCAATTCTCAATAGTTTTAACATTTGCAATATTGATCCAACCTAATTAATCCCCAGAACTCAACTGGACCTCAATTCCTACTAGAACTCAGCTCCTCACTCTCACCGACTGAAGCATTTTTTAATGCTTTCTACTAGGTAATCATGCTCACCAAAAAATTCCTTGTGTCTATTTTTAACCTCCTAACTTCATAATAAACAGCATTCGTCTCAGTACAGTACACTGTGATAATGGTCATATCTAAAACAAGTACTCTCTTGGATTATACTAGTTAAACCAAAGAATAAACCTAGAATGCTAACAAAACTGAATTTCAGCTGGGCAGAAGACACTGGATTTTAAGTAGTCTTCCCAACTTCAAGACTATTACCTAGTCCTCTGAATACAGAAAGCTTTCCTCTATTTGAATGAATTGCAGAAGGCAAATTTGACCCAAGGTTCATCAGAGAAGTGGGGGGAAAAGTAAAAATATTCCAACTGGCATGACTACATTACAATGTTAACAACACATTACTCACCATTGTACTACAAGAAAGAACTTGCAAGTGGGCAAGGAACATTCAAGAAGCCAAGGAAACAAACAAAACTCTCCCAGTCCTCAAAGCACAAACACGTTCAAATGCCAAAGCAGGTCACACTGTCCAATTTATACCCAGGTATGAGTGGGCGAAGAGGGAGTGGGAACAGGGAAGGGGAAGAGAAGGAAAGCATTATAGGACAGGTGTGCTTGTCAGCACCAAGGCAGATTTCTTTCTTAGATTCATCAAGAACTTTTTAAACAAAGAAATACTAGTGTGTGGGGGGAGGGTCTCACCTATATTTATCACTTGATTTATTTATATAATCACAGAGAACCAGAAATATATGTAAATGGCAGAATAATGTAATAATGGTTGCAGATATTCCCTCTGGAATCCATCAGATGTTATTTCTAAATCCTAGCTCTGTCACTTTCTTGCTGTGTGAACTTGGGCAAGTTATTTAACATTTCTGTACCTTAGCAGGAACCTTATCTCTAATTCACTGTGGTATCCTTAGCACCTTAAACAGTGCTTAACTATTTTGGATGAATTAATAAGTATTTCATTAACAGTAATACATATTTTGGATGAATTTGTAAATAGGTTTTAAAATATCTATCTTACATAATTATTAGGAGTATTAAATGGGGTAATATATAAAGCACTTAGTATAACTCAGGGTAGGGTCTCACTATTAAATAATAAAGTTTTCTTCCCTTTAATCCTCAGCCAGATCAGAAGTTACAACACATGAGTCATGGCAAGGATTAAGAGGGGATAGGAATTATAGAAGCCAAGCACTGGCAGATGTTTACTACTAGGGACCTAGTCATAAAATCCAGGAATATTTAATCTTGGCAGATAAAATTAAATAACAGTGTCAGACCCTTATAGTCTCTACATAATAAATATTAGTTGGTCCAGAAAACGTTATTTTAAGTCTTCAGGTACCTGTTCCCAGACAGATTAAAAGCCTGGCTGAAAAGAAAAAAAGAGGTGAGAATGAGTTGCATTTTTTGTTTGTTAATCTCACCTAAGAATATTTTTCCATTGAATTATTTTTTTTAGAGAGAGTGAAGGGAAGGTAGGGAGGGAGCGAAAGAAACATCGATGTGAGAGAGACACATCCCAACCAGGGCCGGGGATGGAACCTGCAACACAGATACATGCCCTTGACCAGAATACAACCCAAGACACTTCGGTCCACAGGCCGAAGTTCTAACTGCTGAGCCAAACCGGCCAGGGCACCTGTCTACATATTTTAAAGCCCTGGCCTATGTGACTCAGTTGGTTGAGAATCATCCCATGTACCAAAAGGTCTCCGTTTGATTCCATGACTGGGTTGCGGGCTCCATCCCCAGTAGGGAGTGCACAGCCAATCAAGGTGATCAATGTTTCGCTCACATTAATATTTCTCTCTCTCTCCCTCCCTCTCCACTCTTCTCTCACTAAAATCAGTAAGATAGTTTATATATATATACACACACACACACACACTAATTTTTTAGAAGGCTATTCAATTTTCTAAAAACTTCCCATTAGCAAAAATATTGATTCACAGTATTTACTGGCCTTTTTAGGTAATAAGATCAGTGTAAGTAAATTGTTCTTAATTGCTGGTAGGGTAAATGAACATGAAAGATTTGGGTCCAAAACTCTTCTCCCATTTACTCCAAAATGACTAACGGGGCCTTTGAGTCTACTTCACTGACAGCTTATAACCAAAGCAACCTATCTACCTACATGGGGAAGAATTATTTTATCTTCAAAACTGAAGTTAAGAGAGTATATGCAATTAAATTCAAAATTTGAAGAAATCTTTTTCCTTGACTATGAAGAACTGAATCTCAGAAGAAGAAAGCTCTAAGAAACCTGAGTCACTAGTATATTATGAGCCTGACAGAGAGAAGTATACATATTTAATGTCTAAATATCAGGAAAACCTATGCAGAACTGAAACAGCTTGTGGTTAAACCTCATCATAATGTGGTCTTTGACTTCCCATTTCACTTCCCAGGCATCTGCTGTCTTTTTAACCATTAAATCCACCTCCTAAGCAATATGATATAGTAGAAAGAGCACTGAATGACACTCATAAGAATGGGCTCTACACCAAGTTCTACTACTGAATCAGATGTTTAAACTCTCTGTATTTAGTATTAACTGATAATGTGGAGCTAGACTCAGAGCTCTTCAAAGGTTCCCATGAGGCATCCCTTTGGAGAGTAGATGTAATCAGAACCTAGCCAAACGCAGCTCCACTATTGCTATAACCTAGATTAAAAACATATACATTGTTCTTATCTATCCCTTTCCCACAAAAACAGTTACCAAATTTTATTTATTTTCCTTCAAATCCTCCCCTTTCTCTATTACCATCATTCTAAAGAGACTCCTTCCCAGAACTATTACAATAGTTCTCTAACTGGTCTCTCTTCCTCCACTATATACCACACGGCTGACTCAACTTTCCTAAAGTGCTAATTTACACATAAAATTCCCTACTCGTGGATTTTTCACTCTAAGGATAAACCACTTCTCTGCCTGAGATTTAAGACCCTCTCCAACTTTGCCAGTCTCTTTGCTCTCCTAGGTGAAACACTATGCAACAAATTGTCTACTCAGTCTACCCCCAAACCAAGGTGGGCTCAGCTCCTTGCTCTCCTGTCTTGAATGTTTCCCCTCTAAACTTAGTCTTGTCTCTTCTCTGAAGCCTAGGTTATCCTAAAGGTAAAAATATGCCTACCTACTCCCTCTAAACTTCCATATAACTCTATATAACTGTACTCCTCACGTGACACTTAGTACTCAAGAATTAGTATTACAATTTATCTTTTTATGCATTCAGTCTTCACAACTAATTATTAAGTTCTCTATAACTTTAACTCTTTCTATATCTGAGGCCTAACTTTTCAGAAGGCAGATATTCAATAAAATGTTGATGATAACTACTACCTCGGACAAGTCATTTAAATTTTCTGGGCTTCATTTTCCTCACCTAGAAAACATGACAATATGTAAATTTCCTTTCAGTTTTAAAATGCTACATGATGGTATACATACTAACAGCCTGTATTTATTCCTCACATTTCTATATATGTATTTATGTATATGTAACTATGTTCCATTTAACCCAGAATATATATTCCCAAGGGACCAATTCTCCTACTACTTGTTTATTTACTGGGTAACATTTCCTTGACATCTTCGAAGTTACACAGCTTGTCCAAATTCCAGTACACAGCAGGTGTTCAGTAGAAAGGAATTTATAGTCTCAACCAGGCAGCAAACATCAAGGGAAATTTACGCAGATGATATTTTTAAATCTTCATTTCTAGAATGAACTAGAATATTACAAAAAATTACAAAGATAATGTGAGGGAGAAGTAATTTAATGTTGTTAAAATGAGAGGTCACCTTGTGCCAAATAGCTAGGAATTTATTTTAGGCATTAAAAGAAGCGAGGATGCAGCATATTTTAAGTCTAAATCTCAAATTCTATTTTCAGAATTCTGAGGGGTATGGGAAGTCTCTATCCCTGGTCAGTAAACAACAGAGACTAAGAATCCTTCACATCAGGTAATCTTGTCCTTAGTACTGATGGAAAATTTCCGAAAACAAATAGTCTAACACTCAGCCAGGTGAGCTTCCAGTTCAAAGACAAAGGCAAAATGACCTCATAAGAGCAGGTACATTTGAAACAGTTGAAAACCTGCTATCTAAAATATTTTTGTTAGCAGCATTATATTTTCTCACTGTCTTGCCTCGATTCCTCACACAGGATTGATATCTTCCAGTATCAAAACTAATACAAAACTTTGAAGGAATTTTCTTCTTTTCCTTTCATGTCAGTTATTAATGATTCAAAAAGCACTAGTAGACCAAAGCATTTTAAATAACCCTGACTCTTCAAAGAACTATTTTAGAACATAAAACTGTACTTTCAAAGCTGATTTCTATATATGATGTTTTCCAATTAGTATGCGGCCTGGATACAACTTTGATATAGTTAAGGTACAAGGTTTATAAAGACTTGTAAGCCAGATTTTGAAGGATGAGAGGAAACAGAACCTCTTTATCCCCTTTTTCCTTTCCTGTTCTTCAATCCTATACTGTATCTGCTAACTCCTGCTATCTACTCTGTTTCTTTGCTCCTTTCCCTGACCTCTGCATTCCCCTATCCCTTATCCTAAGAACTGTGTGGGAAACTACAAGGTAAGATTCTGGTGCCAGGAGCTGGGCTCTTGCCCTCTTCCCTATTAAGTCTCCAAATAAAATCAAGGGCCACAGGTAGTTTTCTCTTCTGTGGTTTTTGCCACCACCATATCTCCCTTATCAAGACTAGACAAGAGACATGGGGGTAGCAGGAAAAGGTGTGGGGAATCATTTACTCAAAGGAGCTGTAAGCTTATTAAAGCCCACTCAATCCATTCTAGGTTGCTATTTATTGACAGCAAGTTTTCATCTCAGGCTTATTTCCCAGAGCCTACCTTGGCCTACAACCCTCACACAAGCCTCTGAATTCTTCCCAAATATATTAAATGTGCGCTAAAAATAAAAATATTTTATAAAAAATTTGAGCTACACATAACTACAAAAGAAGGTCAGTTGCAAATTAAATTTTAGAAATGCATTTTAGAATCACAAATGGACTTGGGATTATCCACTTCATCATCTGTTTTTTGTTTTTAATCCTCACCGGAGGACATTTTTTTGCACTTATCTTCAGATAGAGTGGGAAGGAGAGAGGGGGACGGAGGGAGGGAGGGAGAGGAAGGGAGGGAGAGAGAGAGAGAGAGAGAGAGAGAGAGAGAAACATCGAGTGGTTGCCACCCACACGACCCCAACCAGGACCGGGGACAAACTGCAGTCAAGGTATGTGCCCTTGTGGGAACCGAACCCCAGGACTCTCTTGTCTGCAGGCTGATGCTCTAACCGCTGAGCAAAACCAGCCAGGGTAGGATTATCCACCTCAAAAAGGTTCATAATGTTCTTCAGAACCCCAAAAGAAATCAAGGCCTGAAGTATCGAGATTAGCTATACAAAACTGCTGATATTCAACTGATTTTACCTACAAAATTGCATTTTATATAGTTCAACTTAATATTTAATGTCTTCTTGGTGGGGGAGGGAAGAACTTCTGTGAGGCCAAGATGATGTTATTTTGGGACTACATGGTCCAGAATTAATAGCTTCAAAATATTCTGCTGAGTTACAATCTGGCCTTGTTAATAAAAAAGGTGTCATTAAAAATATATGTACATAGTATACATGTACATATGTGTATATTAGGCTTTCTTCTTTAGGGGCCAAAGAATTCCTGGTTTTCAGCAGTGTTCATTAAGTAAACAGATAGGCTGCTTTTTTTCAACACCAATATCCCATCTCCAGTGAAGGTGTCAAGACCTTGATGACAATAGCAGAATTTGATAGCTAGTGAAATGAGTCTGGCCAGAGGAGCACGCTGCCTCAAAGGCCATCAGGAGCAACTCCCAGGAGTTTGCTCACTGGGATGAGATCAGTGATCAATTCCCATTTTTCTCAGGGAATGTTTGCTCTCATCTCCTATAGCAAGTTACTCTTAACTGCTCTCACTATTTATGTACAGTTTTATATAATTTTCAGGCTGAAAGTTTCTTTTTAAGCTTTTATTTTTCATGGGGGTCACTATAATACTCATAATTAAACTAACAGTTCACCATCACAACGGACTGTCTTTATTTTCTTATTCATTAATTAACCATTTAGTGGCTAATGGGTACTAAATGCCTACTATGTGTAAATTATTGTGACAAGCTCCACAAGAGATACAAAGATAAAAAAGACCACTTATCTGCTTTCCAGGACTTACAGTGTAGAAGAGGCATGAGAAGGGCACAAATGAACTAAAATACAAGAATATACAACTACCACCAGACAAGTACCAATGAAATGAAAGGATAATTCAGAAGTGGAAAAGATCATATCCTGTTCAAGAAAAAAAAAATCAGAAAAGTTTTCATGAAAGATATGATTTAAACTGGGACTCTGATGGGTAGGATTTTTTTAACAGGGCAAGTGGGGAGGGCAATGGAGGAAAGAGACTTAAAGACTGGGTGATTAAATGAACTAGATCTACATGTGGACACATCTGAAACAAACAATGTAGGGAGAAAAAGATGCAAAACGATACAAACACTATGATTCTATTTATGTAAGATTTAAAAACAAAGCTATATATTGTTTGTGTATATATAATATGTTAAATTAAAAAGAAAGGTATATCCCTGGCTGGTTTTGCTCAGCGGTTAGAGCGTCGGCCTGCGGTCTGGAGAGACCCGGGTTTGGTTCCTGCTAAGGGCATGTACCTCGGTTGCAGTTTGTCCCTCGCCCGGGTTGGGTCGTGCGGGTGGCAGCCACTCGATGTGTCCCTTTCACGTCGATGTTTCTCTCTCTCTCTCTCTTCCTCTCCCTCCCTCCCGCTCTATCTGAACAAAAAATGGAAAAATGTCCTCAGGTGAGGATTAAATTTAAAAAAAGGTATATAACATGAAATGGAATGATACATACCAAACCAGGCCAGTAGTCATTTCCTGACAAAGAGGAAGGGGGAAAGGATGCAGAGCTGGGCTTTAGCTATATCTACCATTTTATATCTTAAAGTGAGAAAGACATTTAAAACAACTAGGACAAAATGTTAATATCCATTAAATTTGGGTTGTTGGTTCAAAATTGTGTTAGGGGTTTTTCCCTGAACTTTTCTAAATAGTATTTAAAATAAATCACCCAAAATTTTTAAATTAAGAAAGGGCCAGGTGACTGGAGCAGAGGAATCATTAACATAAAAATAATAGTCAGGAGCAGGATGAGTCTCTTAAACTTTAAGGGAATACTTGATTAGTTCCGTTTTAGCCTGAAGAGAACCCTTCATCTCCCTCCCGCTGTGTGCACAGAAGGCACCTAGAACAGAGTGGGCTGGGGCTGACAAATACGGACAGGAACAAGTTGTCACTGCCATCCTAAATCAGATATCTGAGGGAAGTAAGACCCATTTTTCCACATAACATAAATGTCGGTATAACCAAGTCATCTCTCCAAAATAAAGCCAAAGAAACTTCCAGTTACACAGGAATTCAGATAAAGACTCACTGTGAGTATTCTGTGCCTCCTATCTCTACTCTCCTCCCCACCCCCAAACACTCACAAACAAAAACAAAATGTACCCTTGCCCACTTGAGAAAGAATTAAGAACTGGCAGCTCTGCTAAAGTGGACAGTTTCCAAACCAAGGCCCTTCTCTGAAGATGTTGACAGAGCCAGAGAAAGAGTAAAGAAATCACAAGTCAGTTAAGTTTTAAGAAAAACTTATCAATGGAAGGTATCCATCCTTCCACATCCCCTGTGTCCCAACTTTCCCCAGGGGAAATCTAAGAACCTCTAAGATGTCTTCTATCCTGTTCTTAGGCTCTTCTCCAGCAAAAATCACTAAAAACACAAAATCCAAACTTGTTTAGCATCTTAAACCCAAACAGTTTTCCTCACAAAAATCCAAAGAAATTAAAAATAAAAAGATTTAGAAGCCAAATATAATGTCATATCTTGGGGGGGGGGGGTTGTGGGGTTTTTTTTTTTTAGATAAATATATTTTTTGTCAGTGCCTAATTTCTTTTACCTAAGTTTCATTGGCACAACTTAAAACTAAGTTTAAAAGAAAATAGTTTGAAGGGAACTTATCAGGAAAGATAAATACATCTGCACACTCAATAAAACAAATACCTTGACATTCTTCTACATCTAAATCATTATAGCTAAATAATGCTAACATCCTCTTCACTCCACTCCAGGGCACCCAACTGCCAAGGTCAAAAGTCCCTATTTCCCTGAGGTACTCAGACCTGGGAAAATACCGCTGCTCACTTTGGACCGGTAAAAAGGACAATGGAATGGAACGACAGAAATCCCTCTGTCTTCTGGCACAATACGGTGTGGGAGAATGTAAAGAGCACTAAAATGGGACTTGTGAGGGACTTATAGAGGTGACCTAACATTTATTAATCACCTAGCGCATTACAGGCACTGAAGACTGAATTCCAGACCAAGCTAACACAAAACTACTTCCATGATCCGGAATAAATAAATCTCAGGCATTTGAAAGTGAACAAGGGAGACTAAGAAAGCATAATAGCCCCTCTAGTTCTTTGATTCTATAAACATGATCAGTCAACAAATGTGTTACTGTTAAGCATAATAAAGTTATTTTAAAAGCCTTCATTTTGTGCCTGGCCGGTGTGTATCGAGCGTTGTCCCATGGACTGAGAGGTCCCGGTTCGATTCCTGGCCAGGCACATGCCCGGGTTGTGGGCTCAATCCCTGATGGGGGTG